GTTCACAGCAAAACACATTCCCAGAAGCTGGTTGATTATTACAAAGATGAGCTGTTAAAAGATAACATACAAATGTAACTATTTATCAAACGTACGCGGATTGATTCGACTATTTTTACGTTAACGGTTTTTGAGGTTAATGGGGTCAACTTACCGCTATTTTGGGGGGAGGGGGTGATGGAGTCCGTGGTGGTGAAGGGGCCGGAATCACCACAATGGGGACAGGTTCCTTGCTTTTAGGGGTCTTCGGGGGCCTACTTTGCGTGTAAGCTTGGCGCGTGGCTACTCTGGTCTGAGTGTATGCATTCCGGGTTGAGACCTTCTTAGGGGGAGGGGCAGTGTAATTCGTTGTCATCTGTACCCCGACATGGCGTACTTTAGGCTTGGGTGGAGGGGCGGGCTTACGTCTTATAACGACAGGTTCTGAGTAATTTTCGTCCGACATCCGGTAATCACAGTAAACTTTCCCATCCTTTTCATATCGCCCCACCTCGACGAGTCCCGGGGACCGAGGCCGATATCGTCCCGTTGAAGCCACCACCGCGGACTGGGGTCGGCGCGTGCTCCCTCTGGACCGGCCGTACACGTAATCCTCTACCCACGCCTCCTTGTCCGTCATGACGTCATCACGGATGACGTAACGACGATCGTCGTCCGTATATCCGTCCGAAAGATAGTGATTCCGATTTTGTGAACGGACACTGTTCTGTCTGGACGTACGCGTGTATCCGTTGCGCGACATTTTGTCAAATTTTGCTTTAACAATTAGTAAATCCAAGCACTTTTGAAGAAATTCACTTTATAAGATGCATCATCTCTTTTTTCCTGACACACCTCACGTGTTCAGCGTAATCCGTGAAATATCTTGTCGGTCCTCACACCGAAACGTAAATTAAAGTTTGATAAGCTGTCATCAAACCTGGTCGTCACGAGGCCTACCACTGGTGTTGACGTACGTATTCCAACCGAGAAATGTTCAATATTTGGTTAAGTGTTTTCCAGGCCTTCTCTAATGCCTTGTTTGCCTGCCACCCGTCATATACATCGATCTACGAGGCTTCGTGTATATATAACACTGTCCGGCCACTGTGTACTTCTAATTCCAAGTCTTACCATTCCATAACGACTTAAAGCTAAATTTGGATTAATGTCAAGGGAAACAGCCAAGCCAATCCGAAAGTGTCTATTGTTGTAAATGTATACGGATAGTTAAATAGTAAGTACCATACAATTGCTATTTATATTGTATGTGTATGTGGGGAGTTAAGATGTAGGCGGGTCAAATATCATCTACAATCCCAACCTGTCATACTACATAACGGTACGGCGATATTCTATACCCTTTACATTTCTCACCCCGCAATATCGTGTTTGATGTATCCCTCGCAGGAACAGCCATCATTAATATTTGAACATTGTCAACACGTCTCTCTTTTCAAATCGTTCTACCTCGGAAAGCCATATTGTTGATGAAAGCTATCAATTCATAATACGATTAAAGATTTTTTTGGTAATGATAAAGGGTATGTTTACAGTGTTTACAAGATTTTAAATCTCCTTTGAGCAACACATTTCTTTTCGGTAGCAAATATATTGAAATGAAACACTAAGCATTGTCCTGTCGCCATGACAACATTCATCCAGCGCAAGCGTACAACGCGATCTCTTGGATCAGCATGTTTGTACCAGGACATGTACACAACGGCGGATTTTGTTTTACATAACTCATAACGAATACATTTAGAAGTTATTAGCCGATATTGATCTGTGAGGGTACTCAAACTTATAATCCAATCAGCAAACACGAAGGTAATTCAGTACAATCGGATATTTTCGGGCCTTTCCGGCAAGCACGTCTTCCAATTCCGAAATATACCGAGAACATCAGATCGATTTTCAGTGTTGCCGGAATCTCCAAATAAATGGTTCACAATGCTAGTTCAAAGCTGATGTTACTTTGAAGAAAGATTGTTCTAGAGTGTGATACTTATATTGACATCACAGAATACAAGTTCGATTTTAGGTTCAACATTGCTTTCATTGTTACATTAGGATTATCATAATACCGAATACAAAATATCTAACTTGAAACTAAATTTATTAAAAATTTGATAAAGTATAAACACCAGAGACCCATTAATAATCGTAGTGTTACATCAATTGTAAAATATCAATACCACGCGAACTTATCGATCATCTGTAAGAATGCATGGTTATTCTACATATAACCCAAATGAGCGGTTCATATTTCTGAAGCACCCATGTATTATTTAAGGCGAAAGTCGATCGTGATTCCATAGCGGCGAGGTTGAGAGAAGATTTGATTTGCCTGTTTTAATCTTCAAGTAAGAGTTTTTGTATTTGGCAAGAGCTACGGTCATGATGACTATGTCTTTTGATGATAGGATAATTTAATTTTTCGGGTGGTCTGGTGGCGCAGTGGATAGCGCACTTGCCTTTCACCAAGGCGACTGGGGTTCGATTCCCCGATCGGACGTGAAAAGGTAGGCGGTACGTGGGTTTTCTCCGGGTACCCCGGTTTCCTCCCACTTTAAGATCCCCTGTGCACTAAAATCCGGGCCAATAAAATTGATTTATACAAGTTAAAACTTGAAACAATTTGTTTCATTATTGTTGTCAATCAAATGAAGTTAACGTATGTCTAGTATCACTTTAAAGTGTTATCTCACTGAAATGTCATGACCATGATACTGTATCACGGCGCGCCACCTAGACAAATGATTCTATAAACGTGTCAACCAGAGACAAAAATAACTAAAGAATCTTTATTTAACGTCGTGTACATTGTCAACAACAAACATAAGCTATGTAGAGCTTTTATTACGACGCCGCTAAGGGAACAAATGGTGTTTTCGTGTTGCAGGTAATCCCACGGGGGAAAACCACCTTGCCACCGGAGGGATAGTAATACAAATTCGAAAATAAAATTACTTAAAACTAAATTAAGAAAAACTTTAACGCATAGATAATTTATTTATATATTAAATTAATCAATTAATCATTTATGTTTTTTTATATATTTATTTTGGCAGCATGTATTCTCTGGATACTCAGAGCAGCATTGGCCTGAACAAAGGGCGGGGTAACTCTGACAGTACTTTTAATTTTCTTATTCAAGCATTTTAAAGACCCCTGTTATTGAATATTATAATCGCCGAGACGACCAAGAGCAGTCATCTGGAGAGAGATTGATAAGCAGCTTGAGGCAACGACTTTTGGATTCCAGGTAGATGCCATCTGAGGAACTTTCAACGTTTGCTATCAAACTACATCATATTACCAAACCTGTGTAATATTCTGTTTATCATTTTTTGATGATGTCCTAGCAGAGGAAATGCCGTTCAAGAAATCACATCGCTTTAAGTGTTTTTACTGAACTTGTTTGTGACGGTGAGGGGAAATAAGTTTAAAAAAAACACCTAAAAAAATGAGACATGTTTTAAAGCAAAAGCAGGGATGAAGCTTGCAGAATATAAGTACTTATTAATGAGCATAAGAAAACAAAATGATTGTCAAATATTTTAATTAATAATTAACTGAATTGACAACATATCAATATATATAATACAACAGAAACATTAGTATATACCATCTATATACGTATTTTCAAATCACATTGCAATAAATTATCTTGTTCAGCTAACTTGTCGAACTTAGTCTCGCGGCGCCAACGAGAACTTAAAAGTGAACGAGACTAGCGCTACACGATTCATTTTGTTATATACATCTTACCCTGTTTTTCACGGCATGGTTGATTGTTTGTCCATAATTAAGGTATTTACATGTTAAACTAGTTTAATGTATATATTAACAATTAGATTTCTATCTAGTAAACTGTAACAAGTCTGTCTGAGTGATGGATGTATAAGTTAAGCAATGCCTCATATACAACGGTACCTCGTTATTTTGGAATCTTATATCTTCACTGCGATGAAGATGTACAAAATGACTCGAGAGAAAATCAATTCTTATATAACCCCGATTTTCCGGATATTTTGATTACGGATAAAAGGGAGCCGGATAATAGAGTTCCGGTTAATATCATAACGTATTAAACGAGGTACATCGTAGTCTGAGAAGGGACATTAAGCTGACTAGAGAGTAATTAAATAAAAACTAAATCTGAAATAAACAATATCAATTAATATGGTGAGCAGCGCCAAGCTTACATCTAGGGTACATCACAGGGATCGTACGTGTTTTTTTATGATATTTTCACATTGACCCAACATATCAGCTACAGTACGAGGTATCATTATCACAGGGGCATGTTATGAGGTATTGTAATCCCACAGGGACCTGTGGCATTAGTTATTCCACAGGGACCCGTAACACTAGTTATGAGGTAATAACCCCACAGGGACCTGTAACACTTGTTATGAGGTAATAACCCCACAGGGACCTGTAACAATATTTATAAGGCAATATATCCACCGGGACCTGACACAATGAATAAGAGAAAAAATTGTCAATAATCACCAATTAATAGATATCCCAATTTACAATATATTTTTATCTAAGGAAATTTCGTCCCTGTGGGCATAATAACAGTTGAGAAATATACATTGCTAAGTACTGAACTAAATCCCAGGACTAAAAATATATATCTTAGGGAAAGTATTTTGATTAAAGACATCTATTCAAGATTTTCATAAGATTTTCATCTCGTCTGTTCTATAATTAAATATCAAATGTTAGTTAGGACCATAGGCAGCTAAATTAAGAGTTATATAAATAAGGCCAAACAAAGATATCGATGTGTTACCTGAAATATTTTGAAAAAAAAAGAGGGTTGGAAGGTAAATAAAACATTAAATCAAAAACTACACGAGGGAGTAAAGGGAAGGCAGAAACATAACGGTCGGTATGGTTACCGGAAACACAAAATAATGTTTGTTTGGCCTCATATCGTCTTATGTAGAAATGCACTAGTTGGCCTGTGCCAGTTTCTCTCTATACATTTTATAAGCTATTGGTACTTGTTTCTTCTTCCGTGCGAACCGGGACTTAATGAAAAGGAACTTGTTATCGTCAGCGCTAGCACGTCGCTTATGTTCGTATACTTTGACAGGTATGTGATGATTGCGATGATGCTCGACCTTCATCCAGCCTCCTCCCACGCGCACCATCACTGACTTGGCCTTTGGAATCTGAAAGAGTGAGAAAGTTACAGGTTCATGCGACGACAGGTAGGACAGAAGTTTCCCAAAACTGAAGTTAAAATTATCAAAGATATTATCAATATTATGAAATACTTTTAAAGTCATTTTCTGGAGAATTGCTCTAAACAAATCACACCTGTTTTTCACTTTACCAATAATTATAGTAGTTTTTCAAACTAGGAATATTTCAAATCTATTCTAGGGTCAAAAATTGGGACCCATCAACTTTTAATTCTATGTTGCTATTGAGGAAATATAAATTCACCGCATCAAAATGAAATATATGACTACTTTGACCAGGGAGGTAAAAATCAAAGTCACAAATCTTCCTTGTATATCTTCATTTATAAAAAGTGTAAGGCTGATGTGGAAATCTTCTACGCCCCCTTTACATTAAACCAGACCCTCAAGTTTTCGACTAATCTGAATTAACAGGAATGTTGAGACATGGGTAACTTTGTTTCTCGAATACAAATGTCCGGAAAACGATGATTATGGTGTCCGGATTAATAAGATTCCGTTGTACTTGTAACATGTGACTAAGGAAACAATAATGTTCAGTTGGTTATTACGGATCGTAGAGGTCAGTGTTTCTTGTTGTGCCATTCTTACCACTATTGCTACGACTATAACGATTATAAGTTATGTTCCCCCCATTTCCCATCAGCTGTTGATTTTCGTTTTTAAAGTAATTGAACACTTAATTTGCTAAACTTTCCATCTGCTCTAAATGATTAAACCATAATTGTACAAATAGCAAATAATTGCTTGTCTACTTACCACTGCGGGTACGGGCTCCATAACCTCCACGGGAGGGGGTGTCTCTGGGCGAACTACTCTAAGAGGAGGTGTCTCTGGGCGAACTACTCTAATCAGTCTTGGAGGTGTCCTTGGGCGAGGTTTGGGCGGTGGTGCCGGAGTCTGGGTACCGGCGCTCTTGGTTTTGACCGGAGGTGGTTGATCAACAACGTATTTAGTGGTCATTTGTACCCCCACGTTACGCATGCGTCTGACTGGGACTGGAGGCGGCTTGGCCTCTTCCTTCAGGCGGTAGTTGTAATATACTTTGTTGCCCTCCTCCCGTTTCTCCAGCTCAACAAGACGGTCGCCATCTCGTGTATGTAAGATCTGTTCACTGAATGCCGACCGAGGTCTGCTGACACGTCGGTTTTCTCGCATACTGTCCTGTCGGACATGCTGCACGAGCTGTGTGCCGACGTCCGACATTGGACGGCCATTGTTACGCGCATTATAGTACACAATGCGTCGCTCGCCTGTTTCCGACGCAGCCTGGGTATTTTGTGTTGCGTAGTAGCGCATATGTTCCTTCATGCGCCGGACGGTACTATCACTTCCGGTATCACTGTCATTAATCTCCTCGCCGTCACTCTGATACGCCGCCCTCGTTACGGGTCGGCGCTGCTCGTGATGTCCACTATTTGTTACATATTCGAGAGTACGTTCCTCTCTGGTGTTCCGCGTGATTTTTTTCTCCTTCCGGTGTGCCTTTTTCTGTCCCTTCTCGTCACTGGTGTTATGACGATATTCGGGAAGTCGGAGGTCGCTTGCCGACGCCGGACGTCGCCTCACTTCAACAATCCGGCCGCCATCATCGGAATCATCCGACACGCTCCGCTTTTCACGTCTCCGGGATCGCCTTGACGAGGATGTCCGATGTTCTCTGTGAGACATTTCTAATATCCGGTGTCTATTTCGTTAGAGCAACGTGACCTTTCATAAATATATATATTTTTCAGCTGTCAGTAACAAACATCCCTACATATCTTGTTTGTCATTTCACAACACACGACCGTAGTCGAATACAGACATTGCCAGTGAATGAGTGGCTGTGATACCGGGTCCCTTAGTCCACGTTCCTACAGACACAATTCACCTGTCGGGTTCTATTACTAGTGACAGTCATTGATTGTCAAACCCTGACGGCTTAGCGACGACACACACCGCGTGTCACTTACATGTACCTGTATAAATACATAATTTACATACGTATAGAGGTGTCTTACCGTTATGTCGGGTCTGCTCGATTTCAAGTATACACATGTTTAAAACCTTGGACTGAAAACTTTCGCTGATCGGTCGGACGATTTTCTTCTGTTCAGTTTTTAAATTAATATTGACCGATCGCCTTTGTGGTGATGGTTAATACATGGGTGGCGTTAACGTTATTGACATTAGCCGTCACACACATGTATCGTGCTAATTACGATATATATGTTAAAGTAATCGAGGAACATGTGCATAGCAACCGCAATACACACTGTAAATTTTGTCTATAGACACGTGGTCGCAAATATATGGTCGCATTAAAGAGATTATTTCTACACACATGTGGTCGCTTTAAAGAGGTTACTACGGCAGATATATCGTAGCTTTGTAGAGGTGACTACAATAGATATAGGTGGCTTTACAGAGGTTGCTTCCACAGATACGTAGTAGTTTTACAGAGGTTGCTAATACGTAAATGTTGCTATGTATATGGATTTTGCATACTGGTACATGTAGAAAATCTATAGAGGATATTTGAAGATAAAACGGTCGCTTTATAAAGGTTGGCAGAGGGCGCTTTATAGAGAGTGTTCCTACACACATGTGGTCGCTTTATAGAGGTGACTACCTTAGATACGTAGTCGTTTTCTAGAGGTGACAACTACACACTTTGTTGCTATCCATATGATTTTTACATTCTGGTACACGCATGCGATTTGTAGAGCGCATTTCAAGGTAAAAACGATCGCTTTATAAAGATATATTTTTTGGCAGGGGGCGCTTTATAGAGGTGGCTACTACAGACATGTGTTCACTTTATTAAGGTAGTTTCTAGATACAGAAGGTCGTTTTATAGAGATTGCTGCTATTAAAAAGATATCTTTGATCGTTGTGGGACACGTACAAAATGTTTAAGGTATACTTGACTAACTAAATTTAAATACTGTTCTTATATGAGTAGGCGTACGAACGACCCCAGTGTCAAGCTACCTGTGTATCAGATGAATACATGTTATGTTATTCTAAAGTGAACAATACGGTGTACTTATACAATTATATTGAATGTTTGTACCTATGACGGTTCATATAAGTGTATACATTTATATCTGAAGGCGATATTTGACGAGGTTTTCAAACAGGTTACCGAATTATAAGTTACATAAAAAGTACGCCTGATACAGGTAAATATATATACATATGTAATAACGGTATTAAAGTTCACACCATAGACAACTCGTGAAATGAGTCTAACATATTATTTCTGAATGGGACTGTAGCGAGTTTAAAAATGAAGACATTGCTGTTCAACGGTACGATACATTACCTTAAAATAAACTCCCGGATATGTGATTTTTTTAGGAACGCATCACCAATACTTTAAACAAATTACCTGATATATCATGCATTTAACTTTCCCATACGTTGATATTTTCATATTTTAATTAAACATTTTTTTATTTTTTTTTTATCTTGATAAATCATATTACACGTGGAAGAAAGGTTTTTGTTTTGAAACGTCCATATTGAACTATCTGGATAGGGATTTATTTGCATGAATCAGCAGGTGTTCTTTTAGATATACATTGATTATTTACAGTAAATGATAATTAATGGAGTGAATTAATATCAAGAGTAGATTAGTTTGATTTATATATCAAATCCACAGGAAAACCTGTGTAGTTCGACACTTTGTGGAATACTGCATAACAATCAAATTAACTTACGTTGGACACTGTTTAATTCGACACATTTTGGGATACTCCATATTGGTATCATTTATTCGTCTACCGTGATACATTGAGAGAAAAGGCAGATCCGAAAGATTAACCTGTCTATCCAACAAACTGTGGGACACAACATATTAATCAATTTTCATATAATGAAATATAAATGTTTTATTTGGAAGGTTTCATAAAAGTTAGTTATAGCAATAGGTAAGATTGATTTCCGAGGGTTCCGAGTGATCGATGTCCCATTGTAAATTTTAAAGTTCTTTTACAACAATTGTCAATCAAATTTTATCAACTTTTATTCATCTCTCTTGTTGACCCGGATGACAGCGCCTGGGGTCTTAATGTGTGAGGAAACCGGAACATCCGGAGAAAACCCGCGTAGTCGGGCAATTGACCCCGGCCGCCTTGATGACAGGCGAGCTCGCTATCCAATGCGCCACTTGACCAACCATTGCATATCCTTCTAATAATCGTGATTGTATCTTAATTATGACATTTCGTTCTCTAAAAGTTTCCGATTGGTCGACCGTTTCAAAACAAATACCTGGTATTGATAATTTAGATGTATATTGACCCTTGGGGAAACAACACGTTCGTATATCGTAGTTTGATTATTTTTCACATCATTTAAAAAAATATCTTTCATTGGATATGATTTTTTTCGCTTAATACATAGGGATTATCTCCCTTACCTCAATGTTTGCCAACCTAAGTCAAAGTTGTTATTGATGTTAAACTGAAAACACATATCAATCAAAACAATATATATTATCAGGTTCAAAGATATCCAGTAGCGCAGCATTATGTTGTTGTTGTTTTTTTACCAAAAAAATCTGTTTTCAATTGTGTACAAAATAACCTTGAAACAAAACTAGTAAAATAGATAGATTTATTAATGATTGACAACAAAGAAAAGGCACACAAATATACAAATATTAAAAGTTATGAAAAATAAAATATTATTAAAATGTAAAACATTATAACCAATAAAGTAGGACACAAGTGCACCAGTAACAAGCGAGTGGGATTTTCACTTTGGTGTACTCAGTGACCTTTCGGCAGGTAATGTCGTAATTGAACTTCTGAGTACATATATATATACTAGTAAACTCACTTTATATGATAGTGCATCTTGCGCAAGAATAGGTCCTCTACATCAGCGTTCCTTGTCCGCGATGCTTAGTTGCTGCCTTCGGCTGTCTTTAGCCGAGGGTACTATTGGTTTTTTTATAATAGCTATATTTTCAATTATAGTATATCGATTCTATCTTCTTGTAATATGATGTATATGTACATGTAACTGTTCTGTTTCACTGTGTCTTGAAAAAGGAGCGGATCGCTCCGAAAATTTGACAACCTAAACTTGTCCACACTGTTGGAATTACTTCTTTGCCCCATATATATACTAGTATATATATATGTAATTCAACAAAGAAAATGAATAATGGTACTGTATTCATAGTTTCTTCCGATGGCACTACAGTCTCCTATAACGATGTTCGCGGTGAGATATGGCAACACAAGAGTATGAGACGCATCATGAGCAGAAAATAAAGGTTTCAGTACATTAAATTTTCAGATTCTAAAGTGATTATCCCCATGACGTGATGCTGAATAACTCTGCCAAAACATCGAATGACACCGTTATGACGTCGAGCTTGCCTATTCGAGTATCGATATTTGAGTCATAATCTCGCACCAACATATTCAAAATAATTACCCAAAATCTGATTCAGCAGGGGTCAAGTTAATCTACATCCCTCACATAAAAGGTCATTGCAGCCTATTCTTCTCACACAGAGGTCAAAGTGACCTACATTTCTCGGACATTTGCCAAATTGACCTATTCCCGTCACCTTTCCTCTAAAGTTTCTCTTTCTACACAAGTCTTTGTCTCATTGTCGTTGAAGCGCTCCCTTTGGTACCCCTGCTCAGTGTTGCCGTCCAGCTCGGACTTTCTCCCTTTTTCGAGAACATTTGTGATCTAGGTCGCTGTGACCTGATTATCAAGTTCCCTTCTTGTCCGTCTTTTGTATTCTCGACATGCACGTGCATCGGTACGTGAGAACGGAGATAATCTGGCACTTCCATCCACCCCCCTCCAACACGAACCATTGGTAGCTTATGACCGCAAGCTTTAGCCACCTGTAATAATAGTTACAAGTTAAATCATATACATATACCCAACTTTTCAAATTTAAAAAAAGATACCTGTAAGTGTTTAAGTATTTTACGATAAAATCTTTCCCTGACATTTCAAATGCATGGAGACTTCAACTATTAAAAAGGTCATAGGTAACACAGTAACATGTAACCAAGGTAAAAAGTAAAATGTTTTACATAATGAAATACAGCAGAGACTTGTATTTTTGATCTGGAATTATTTATATTTTCTCGGGAGATGAGGCAAAGCCGTTCAGTAAGTCTCGCCAGAAACTATAACCAAGAGTTACGAAGGCAACCAGAAAGCCATTGTCTTAATATAGTTACAAAACATTTTACTAAATAAAATAAATTATTGTAAAAGAATTCACCCGATCAAAACATAACATTGTAATTCAATCGGACACATCGTCCCCTGTGTAGCCATATCTCACGAATATATCGAATACCATGTAAACAATATACACGGGGTCGCCGTGTGTAGCCTCAATTTAGAACATATCAAATATAATTCCGATTCATTATTTACAGATCTGGTTCGTCAACCGACTTGATTGGTATTTTATACTTTGAAATTTAATCCACAATTAATCTCCGAGTAGGTGTAGCGAATACTAGCTGTATGAGATTCGACTTGTTGTAATTTGCTCCTTACCTTGCTTGGGGCACGAACACTTGTCGTTCCGTCCGTTTTTTCCTTGTCGGTCTGTGCCATTGTCTTATCAGTTTCGTCTGAAAATGTAATTCGTTTGCCATTATTTGTAAACTTTCTGTTTGTTTCTTCTTTGTCCCTCGTATCTCCCCCTTCTACCCTTTGTCCATGTTCGTTTTCCCTGCGTCCGTTCTCCTTGTCCTCTTGTCCCTTTTCATTGTCCACTCGGGCGGAGCCGTGTTTGTCGATTTGGACAACAATATTATCTGTGGACCTATGTTCCACGTTCAAGGTGGTGTCGCCCGTGTGGTAAGTCCGGTGGGCAGTGGTCTGGCGCGTGTAGACCACCTCCTCGGGCAGCCACGCCCTCCTCGGCCCCCTGGTCTCCTGAATTCGGGGGTCCGTGATGAGAAATTCAAGGTCCTGTAGAGTAGTTTGTGTTGATATATTTTGAGATCGACTATTTGCAGCCTCATTTTCGCCTGCTTCCTCTCTGCTCAGCCTCCGCAAGACTTGTTTTTCTCGTTTGGGGACTACGCGCTCCACGGCAACTGTTCGTCCACCTGTGTCATTCACTGTGATGGTAACTTTCTCCGGTGGGTCTGGTGGTTTCCGTTTCCGGCGAGGCCGAGATCGGGATTTCCGTCTAGGCATGCTCGGTGCAAAAGGTAACATAAGAGGTTGATTTGGTAGGAAAAGTTTCCATTGTTTTAGTTCTTCACACAACTTCATCCTGAGAGCGTCAACGGCCTTGAATTCGTCCACTTTGACAGTATATACTGGATACTAACGTGAAAATGTCAGAGTAGCTCGTGTTAACGTGCTTGCGGCTATCACTTTCGGAAAGGGTGTGAAATAATCCAACGTTGGTAATCGCGTACTTAGAAACCGTCAACACATTTGAATAATCCATAGTGGAAGACCCCGTGTTTGTAAGAATGTTATATATCGTAATAGATGTCAATTTCAGATCAAAATTCACGCGATCATCTATAGAATACGTAATTTGCCAAATTAGGCCACTTACGATTCCAAGGCTGGGTACATAATACGGGACAGGATTTTGAAGGACCGACTTGTTACAAACATGTACTCGACCCAGACAATAATTATCTACTATACATTTAAGCTATTGAGTTTGATAGTTAAAAGATTTGTTAGGAACGTTATTGCTCACCGAGCCTCGCCGAGAAGGTCACGATAATTTAAACGTAACTGGACCCCCAGTTACAATGGACATTTCCAATAACACACGTGTCCACAGTACAACAACAACACACGTGTGTACGTCACATCTACCAAACCTCTGTAATCTAATACCTAGTTAGTTAAATATACTGTGGCGATTGTTTTATATGAAATACGATACATGTATATACTGTAGTAGACCAGATTCGAACGGTCTGACCGCTCAATAAATATNCCCCCCCCCTCCTTGTTTCCTTCCAAATGAGTAACTTGTATCATAATTGTTATAAAATAAATTAAGTTTATAGAAAGGTGTTTTTTTTAACATAATTACGGATTGACAAAATGTGATTTGACAAACTCGCAGGTAAACATATCACATGTAAGTATTTTATAGCCGAATTCTACTTAATGTGATCACTTATATTATATGATAGCACTTGTATCAACAAAGATATTTCCTTAATTTTAAACCATTTTTAACAAAAAATAACCAAATTTGCCTAACAAGTTAAATCATATGCATATACCCAACTTTTCAAATTAAAAAATAAGATACCTGTAAGTGTTCAAGTATTTTACGATAAAATCTGTCCCTGACATTTTAAATGCACGGAGACTTTAACTATTAAAAACTATAAATGCACTGCGTCACCGTGCTATTAGTCATAGCCAAAACCGAATATGTTGTATATGATATCTGAAGTGTTGTACTCGGTTTCATCTGCACGATACCCTGTTGTAACCAACGGTGATGTAAATATTTACCTATCAATAAACAATGCAGGTTGAAGTACCCGATAAGAAACCGGAAGCTTGGAGAGTTGTTCTTGACTATCCTAATATGTTATCAATATAACACCGATGTCATGTTATGCAATTAGATGCTATTTTGCCGACCCAAGCATCATGCAATTAAAAGAATATCGAACACGTAGTTGCGTATTAACGCAAATCTGTTATAGTGTGCGACATATCATAGATGACTAGCATGCTACTAAAGCAGAACTATTATCAGAAGCCACATTCTTATTGACTACATTTTTATAAAACAACACGTAACCAACATTTTCAATTTATAATTACACTTCGATAAACTTCATTATTGATCAGAACCACAGGGACCCGACGATTTGATTCAAACCCTTAAAACGTCTAATATTACTCTCTACACACAAGGAAAGGTACAAAAATACCAAATGTAACAAATTATCGGGACACTGTGGCCAGGCCGGTTTTTACCTGAGTGTGACGTCATAATGGACAACATGTAGCGCGACGTTTAAAATGGAAGAAGAGAAGAAATCAACAAATACAATAGCTGTCTTGGAGTCGGTATGTTTCTTTATGATGATAATACATACCAATGGAGTTCTGTTTATATGTGATATGCATTGTCTGTGTAAAAAAAACTCATTAACTCTTTCAACCCTGAAGACACATTTGAACTCTTCCAATTCAAAGGTTGGAATAGTTCAATATGAAATATCAGGGGTGAATGAGTTAAAAGCGGTTGCGTACTAATTATCAACTCATGCAATTAACGTAAACAATGCAACATACAAGATCAAAGAACTCGTCAAGGTGTACAGCGAAAAAACAGACATGTAAACCCTTTATTTAGAGCTCAATCACAGCAGACAAAGGAACAAGCAAACAGCGAAAGCAAGACGAAGCTGGATAAGAAAGAGCTCTATACATGGTTCATGCAAACGCAAACAAAACCCTGACCCACAACATACCTTTTGTTACTAGCGGGATGGCTACACTGTATAATTACGAATGATAGAAAATGTATTAATAATTTTCTACATTTTGCCAGAAATGTTTATGTGTCCACTTTTTCAGCCTACCCTAGGTTTAACGCCTTTAACTAAACAACACCCAATTGATTCCAAACAAGCACCTTTTAAGTCAGAAAAGCTGTCCCGATATGCGATATTTGTTGAAATAGTTTGCCAAATAAAAACAATAGTCAGTTTATCATGGTTTTTGAAGGCTGAAGGTCGAAAGCGGAAATAACAATTGTTTTGTCTGGCCTAGCTATACCACAAGCCGACGACACGATTTATGGTGGTAAATTCATTATGTTCTAGTTATTCTCTCGACGGTACCTTCCATAAACTGTGTCTTGTACGACTGTATAATATGTTTGGTAAAGTTAGTACGGTATTGTTAATAGCAAAACCTCGCTATTTCGAAGTCGATTAGTTCGAGTTTTCCTATTAATACAAATTTATGTTTTGATATACAGGAACCTGGCACATGTGTTCCTGTTTGTTTTATATTAATTTTAGTGCATTTTTGGTGTAGTACTACACCGAACCTATCCCGAAGTTTAAAAATTGTTTAGTTCAAATGACTTCGACATATCGAGACTTGCTAACTATATAATGATATAAAAATAAATAGATGAATATAATCTAAAACTAAGATCTGGTGAATTTTACCGTCTTCAGTAACCCTGACTGGTGACGTCACTTTGGTCAGAATCGAGTCCTAACGATTCTATATCAGAGGAGCATTCTCTGACCTCCTAATAAAAAATAAAAATGGCCGCCAAGACAACGTCACAAATCTCATCTATTTAATCATATCAAATCGAAAACAGCATCAAACCAAACAAAACCCTGCATGCACGTGCACTTTGACTTATCTATCAAAACATACCAAAGCTATAAGATGCATGATAAATAAACTACACTGCAGTTATAAAAGGATAAAAGGAGACTGAAAATAACTGCATTTTAAAAACCGTTCAAAATACATCGGAAAATCAGATAAGAAAATTCAATACATTTAAAAAAAAACAGGAGTTATACACATATTTGAAATTCGGTGTTATTGTGGAAATGAAATATATAATGCCCCAATCTTCAAATGATATTGCATAAACTTAGCTGACACTATTGTATACTACTTAAAAATGAAAATAATTTGAATTAGAAATGATGGAAAAACTATTTTAGTTCCATGGCGCTAATATTCATCCTACATACCTTTGATTTCCTGTTGATGACGTAGATAGGTTCGAACGAATCAATTGCACCCATGGATTTTGCGTCGTCGACGTAATGAAGAATCTCGGTGTAGTTTTTTGGTTTTGAGACGACCCCTGTGTTGTTTCCTTTTGAACCATCACGCGGAGTTTCACTTCTATCGATGTCTTCCAAACTCTTACTCCTGTCAGAATCACCGAGACGCTTAATCCTGTTGGTATGTCTAGGGCTTCTACTTGAACGCTTTTCCATCCTCTGTATCTGCTGTTCGTATACCGGGATAGGCTCAAAAGGTTCTTTTAATGAATATACAGCTCTATCCACATTTTCCCTTCTGTATACGACATTCTGTGATGGACGGGTCCTGACGAGGCGTTTGGAAGATTCCTTAATACTTGGATCCATTAATAAATCTAAATGAATCCATCGTCTTTTGTTTTCTGTCGAGGAGTTTTTTGACTGGGACGATTCACGCCGTAAAGTCGAGTGATTGTTTGTCTTGACCAGGTCGAGGTAAACAGCGTCTCCTGATAACCGAAGCTGGTTTTCCATCCAAGTCTCCCGTCGTTGGAAACCGGGTCTCGGTCGGAGTTTTTGGTTCCGTATGAACTTGATGGCCCGTCGGGTTGACCTTGGGAGTTCCTTCTTCACGTGCTCGACATCCCCCTCTCCGTCCGTCAGCACTAGGGTGGAGGAAAGTAATTGGTCCAGAGGCGTATATGGTTGCCAGCACTCGATGGTGGCCATTGTTGTTCACGAAATGAAAGTAGAGCGCCCCAGTGATGGCGATTGTGGTTTAGGACAGCCTGGCTGAATACAAGGCGATTATGGCACATGGAATACACATACGTGTTGACCACACTGACCAACACCAAGTGGCCTAGTCAATCACACTTTTCTCAATCCTATCGAACGGGATATAAAACACAAACGTATCTCGGCGTTGATTGATCCAGGTACGTGAGTAACTGGCCGCGTTTATATACTAAGGTACAAAAATGTCGTTTAAAGTCCTGAATACTTGAAAGCTAACTACAGCGAGGGTTCATAATAAAATTGTTCTAGATCCGATAGCGATGAACGCCACGGGGGAATGTATCCAGGTGTCTTACCTGTCCTTATGATAACACGTCACAATGAGATATCTATACAACAGGTAAGGCGGCGTACATGGGAAGGTATACATACAAATAAACACTGTTTATTAACACGTTGGAATGCCAACATTCAGATTATTATACAAAGCCCCATTCATAAAATAACTAATAAGCATAAACATAAATAAAATATTGAATCTTTAGATTTTTTAAAAGCACGCCTATATATCGATACTCGATACGGCCTCCATCATATACAATTGGCGTAAAAAAACAAATATTACAATGACTTGGAAAGCTATACAGTCATAAGCTATATACAATCAGTTTGTAAAATGGGTAATAAAATAAAATAATTTCACATTTAGTCCCGAACGTTGTGCCAAACAGGCCATGTTCTGATTGTATACAAGCGTGTTCACATTTAGCCACACTACCTTACTTACAACGGAGAATTTAGTGAAACGGGTTTACGGTTTGATAAACAAAAAGAAAGGCCACCAATGTATTATTTTTTTGCACCTGTGTATTGAGCAGACCAGCCATAGACACACGAACAATATCCGCCTTCATGTCGTTTAAATACACAACGCCATTATCGATCTGGGGACACCAATTATTTACGAGTGTTTTAATGTTCGGGAACGATATAAAATCAATTTCCAACAAGGGTGGAATGCCATTATAAACGACGAGAAACCAGACCGTGTCTCAGGATGTGACATTTATAAACCACGCTAGTATTGGAATGACTACATTAACTGTTACGTTAAGGTGGAGTGTTCCAGCGATCTGTGAATTATCTCCAATGAAGAGTTCCAGTTTTGTGCAGCGTTTATTTATACTATATTATAATCATTTCGTTTTTTTTAATGTTTACAAAATCCTGGCTCTGCAGTAACGATACTATTGCGTTCCCTCGCAAAAAGACCAGGTGGAATGTCCCATTGCTATGTTTTTTTTTTTGTTTTTTTTTATCTCTAACGAAGAGGAATTCCATATTATTCGATATATTTTTGACTTGGAATTGATTGCCTAGTATCTTTCCAAAAAGCGCGAGTGCGTTACGTCAGTGAACTACATTTATTGCCCTCAGAAATGAGAACAAAAAGCTTCTATAACCGTCCGGAACTTGTGGTCCCCATGTTGTTGTTATGCTCCTAGAAAAAAATCGGGATACATAAAGTCGCCACTTTGTCCATCCGTCCGACATGTTTTGGCCACAACTTCTGACTCGCTGTAGTCTCGATCAACCAGACGCTTGTTCACTAGTAATACTCTGTTGGGCATAGCTTGTGCAGACAAAAAGAGTCTGGTTGAACGAGACTAGACTCGCTGGAGATAGCTGAATGACATTTAAGGGATATGTGAAGGATTGCAAGACTATGTGTCGCGTACCAATATTTTGTCCGTATGCTCACCACTGTTGCGCCTGCACACCAAAGGTCAAGATCACATTTAGATCAAAGGTCAAAACGCCTTAACATGACTTATTGCAATTTAAGTGAAAGATGTGGGATGGCAAAGCGTTGCGTCAAGCTTCAGGATTCGGTCTGCAGGCAAAAGGTCAAATCCATTGTCTAGTCCATAACTTCAGATTCTCTGAACAACGTACATTTCAAGAGATATGTAACTTGGAGAAAAGTCGAGAATATGAAACGAACCATTGGACGGAAGTGAAAATAAAAGCGTTTTCTTCATACCGTATAGTTACACTCATCCGATAAGAGCAGTTTAAGAGAGATTGGTTGATAATGGTGAATTTGTTCATCTGATCATTTCTGATCTTATTATGTTTGTTGCATGAAAGAACATAGTTTTGTTTTGTTTTGTTTTTGCTGGGGATGACTGCACCAACATGAGGGTGAACCACTTAAGTCACAGCAAAAGCAATCTGGATTTAGCGATCTACATTTATGTGTAAGTCTGGTCAAAATTGCATTCGATATTCAATCAAGAACTTCGTTGTAACGGGGAAGCCCTTATAAGCATTCAGGGTGCTTAAGACTATTTTTGAAAGTTTCATAGGAAGGGGCATTTATAATGGCATACCTGATAATTAGTCCTAAGTAGTGCTATTATGATGTATTTTCCATAGCGCAATTATTCCATTAAATTCGTCAGTACATCAAAATAACGACATCCCCCTCCCCATTTTTTAAAGGTACTATACATTTTGCATCGTCTTGAAAAAAACACCAAACAATAATAATGTTGCTTTTATCTGACTTAATTTATGTCTAAATAAGGACCCACTGGGTACTTGTAACGAAATCTGTGTCGAGGCCATAAGATCAGCACGCATCATCTATAAAATAGACGTTCGAATTCAATAAAATATAACGAGTATTTGTAATCATTTGAAAAAATAAAAGCATTCTATAAATACATAAACCAAAATAGCATAACACATTTGTTATCTGGATTGGACGATATTCTCAAACATCTTATCGATTTGTCAAAGAACTAACAGATAATCAGATTGCCCTGAGATAACCGAAAGTAGTGTGAGATGTTTCAAACTATGAACACAATCGGGAACTATCGGCACTTTCCGTTAATGAGTATTTTTGCGTTTACGGAAAGTACCGACGGTTCCCGATTGACTATGAGCATTTATTGGGAAAATGCTGGTTCACGACCAACATAAATTCAATAATCTTGAAAATCAAACGAAACGTAAAATGTTTTGCTGAGAAACAAGTATCTTATAAAAAAATGTTATATTGGTTTATGTGAAAGATGTATTTACAAAATGTTTTTATTCTTACAAATGTTTACAAACATTCGTTATATTTTGCTCGTTCAAATTAGTGATATCGCAATGTTCAAATTGGTGATATCACTTTATTTAATATGTAAATTTCAGTGATATAGAATTATGTTAAGGATACAATCAAATGGTCATAATAAGTAAACAGTAAACTATGGTATAGACACGTGAATGTTTAATCATTGTCCCTCTCTTTTGAAATATTTTTAATCACTGTGACCGCATCATCTCCAGATATGTATACACGTATACCAGAACAGTTATCCATCAATCTGACTCGGTAATCGTACTAAGATCAAAAGACGACGGCACACCATGTATAGTGATCTGAATGGCCATGTATGAAAAATGCTAGATTTATCGTTAAATGATTCATGAGGACAGTATTTAACAAAAATTCATAAATAAATAGGTATATCGACCTTTTTTTCATAAAAATGGGTATCCAAGGATAATTCTGCGCAAAATTTTGAAACAGACGTCCGCTCATATTATTAATCACTGCTTCGTTATATTCCGTTTTTAATTAACATTGTACAAAACTCATTCGATTCGGGCCACAGTATGGTTGATCGTCACCGTACTGTCTCCTCTCATATATATTAACAAAGACCTAACAAAGCACCACGATCGTACAAAATGAGACAGTCGACCGTCACAATGGAAATTATAACCAAAATATAGGTATCAATGAAACACAGTCTCAACGTAACACTGGAGCAAAACAAAACAAAAACATTCCCCGGCAATGACAGCTGGATCAGTCTAGCAATATCTAATATAGCATTCATCAACGTAAACGAATCAGTTTTTAAATCAATCCCATGGATAAATAAACACCGCTTTAAACGGCACATTGAAACATACATTCCAATGGGAAACAAACTTATATGTACTGTGCTAGAAAAAAATATGCACCTATACGGGACACATTCATTCTAATCGAAAACTTAAACTTTCGGGAAACATTAACTAATAAGAAAAATACACTCTAATGGGAAACATAACTAACGGGAAACATTCACTCTAATAGGAAACATACGCTAAGAGGAAAANAATAAATATAAGTATCAATAACTAATAAAAAACATACAACCTAATGGGAAACATACACCCTAATGGGAAACATAAACCTAATGGGAAACATACACCCTAATGGGAAACATACACCCTAGTGGGAAACATACACCCTAATGGGAAACATAAAGACGGGAAAACATTCATTCTAATAGGAACCCTACACTAACGGGAAACATGAATTAACAAGAAACATACACTCAAATGGGAAACATAACTAACGGGAAATGTACAGTCTAATAGGAAACGTACACTTTAATGGGAACCAATCGCGTTTATGGGAAACATCACTCTAACGGGAAACACACACAAACAGAAAACATGCGCTCAAATGGGAAATACGAACTCTAATGGGAAACATACGCTCTTATAGGAAACATACATTATAATGAGAAACATTCGCGCTAATGGGAAACATCAATCATCTTTCAATATTGTGGCTTCTAATCAAGAAGGAAATAATCTAGACTGTATTTACTTAATTTTCATAGATTATTATTTTTCTCCGAGATCATGCTTAATGTCTTGAAACTGCCCGAACGCTCTCCGTAAATTCCTTTAGCTATGATCCAACATGTCGCCCAGTACTGGACACTGCGAGAGTAGGTTTCTCATTTCCTTTAGCTGTGGTTGAGTTTGGCTGGCTGCAATATAAAATAAATAAAATGATTTGTTAAAAACTTTAGCGTGACATTTTAGGCATACATATGACGATGTACATTCTGTACCTAATAAACGGTCAGTCTTTACTAGCAGAATGTGAAAATGACCGTTCCATAAAACGAGTGCTGTAAGCCAAACGCCAGATTGTACTCAGTATTTCATATTAATAATTCAACATTCTGTGATTCATGAATTTTTAAGACGAAACATTTTCAAAACACATGTTTATACCTTCCACACCGGAAACCTCACGAATACCGGCTCATACACCTCCAAAGGACCCTCTGAAAAATCGTCCGAATAATGTAGTATTTCCGGTACCATGCCTGTCTTTTCACTTCCGGTTTTTGGAACCACACATTTTACTGTCTGTTGATAGCTGTTAGGTTCCGATGTATCACTAGTTCTTTCCGTATTTTTCGTATCCGCTTCCACTTCGACAATTACTTCTACCCTTTCTGTTTTATCACTATTTCCGGATTCTGTCTCATCCACCTTTTTTATTTTGCCAGAGAATTTTCGAATTTTAGTCGTTTTAGTTCTAGCAATCTCACGGTCCATTTTAACTTTAAGAAAGTCATATACACCTTTCGGATTGCGATTTTTAAACTCAAAACTGTTTATATGACTTCCGGTGGTGAATTTTGATTGACTTCCGGTGTTATGGCCGCCATGAATTCGCGAAGCACTATGTGTATGTTCTCTTCTTTTCGGGGCCTTGACCTCCTTTTCCGGGGGTGTTTCCTCCATAAGCTCCTCGTGCGGACCATGGAACAGCGGGTTCAAGGCCAGCTCCAGGTTTAACTTCCTTGCAAAAAACTCACTCGCCATTTCGGATTAATCGTCAGGATTTCTTTCACATTAAATATTTGTTTCACACTGAAATTTTCGAGATACGTGGAACAGGCAGAGATCTTTGGAACATTTCTGCCTTATGAATTTTCACACTGATACATTATTCCAGTTTAAACGTATACCTGGATAAAAATATACGCGACCGTTAACCAAAAATCAATATAAATGTATACATATGTATAATATTCCATCTGATTATTCTCACGGATTATACCGTCATAGTTCACGGTCATCAGTGCCGCGATTTACAGAAGATACGCGATCTACCACTTAATATGTATAACGGCACTAAAGAGTCGCTTCGTCTCAATCTCGGGAACTACCGTCCTCGTTCAAAACACGAGGGATTAAAGCGTCAATATTTCTGGATGAATTCCGATGGTAAATTGTCAGGTTGTCCAGTTTAGACGACGGGATTCTGATATCCTAGACACGTCCTTATATATTATGTAATAGATCAACTTGAACACTATGGTATACAGCTCCATTTTCGATTGATTAATTCGTTCACACTTTAAGTTGTTACGGTCCGATTTGTAAATATGAAACACACGAGTACTCCAGCACTCAGCGAATCAACAAAATGACTTGGATGTCAGACGAGTGTCCATCCTGTCGTCCTGTTATTATATCAAGATGTGCTATCTTAATTCCTTCATCAATCATTCATCTACACAAGTCAGGTCTTAATCACAACCCAAATCCACAAACTCGAATCTTCTAATGTAAGTCGAAAAAAAGGCAAACCGGAATTCTTTTAACACTAAGCAATTCTTAATTGCGATTTTGATAGTACCACACAGAAAGAATCTATGCTGTGTGTTAGGATGCCATTTTCCGATCTGTTTTAAGTCAAGCCTTTCTATGTAAGAAATACCTTGAGATATGTGACAGACGACATTTCCCTGCCAAATTGGAGTCTATCGTCACCTGTATGGAGATATCCGGAGATCGAATTCACCGTCATTGTTTCAAGATATTGGAGACCTCCATTGTGCCCTATGACGTCGCTTCGCCTCGTGCGATTTGTCCTGGTCACAGCTCCATTGTTATCGGCCCCGGGCCGTTGAACGTGGGACCCTGGTTTGTCGCTTCAGTGGATTCATTTTCCACAGACAATACATGCTATCAGCGGTACGTAATCGGGATCTCAGTCTTTCTCAGGCCGTATTGCGATTTTACATTAAATCCCATGACTGATTTGATACCAAAGATTAGTTCTATATTGAAGTTTAAATTTTAAAAGAAGTATCGCTAATATGAAAAAAAGTTTCGTATTTACGGTAAAAAGTACCAGCAAGTTGATATATATTATTGCTCTTTCCACTTTTAAGAAAAGTCAATTTAAATATTCCATACAATCACATATAACGATGGTTTAATAGATTTATTAAAGAAACCCCGAATGCAGGGGAAGAACTAAGGACTTTTACACTGCCATTCTACGCTTTACCTGCATAACATCGAAATGGGAACCCAATTTACAGGTGTTTACGATTACAAAATACATTGACCATCGAGAGATGGTTTACACTGACAAAACGTTTTCTTTTTGTTGCTTCATCTTCTATGTATAAGTATTACTGGTCACAAGTCGACTTAAAAACAAACTCCGAGTTGAACAATTCATAGATATGGTATCAGTTAATCTAAAAGGACCCATCCTCGAAATTTCTATTAGTAAATAAGGTTAATAATTACTGTATTTGCTACCGCCAAAAGAAAAGTTCTTGCATAGCAGTAATGTTGGTGAAGATTTTTGACAGTATTCATATACTTAATAGCCCCGTGTTCTCATTAAAGGTTAAAGATAAATCTTCAAAACCATATGCATGCAAGGCATTGCATTTAATTTTTTGGAATCCTGTATGTTAATCTGTCATATCTTACCGAATTAGCTTTGTTGGAAAACATCATAAACAAAAATTCATTTTAACGTTATTTTAAAATGTCAAATTTCAGAATGTAAACTCAATATGTACGGTGACCGATGACTATATGATGTGAAGGAGATTAAAACTATCTGTGCATTGTATATTTTTACCTGAATTTACGAGACGTTAAGTATCAAAAATACCTGTCCGGTTGATTTTTCAACTAAAGTTTACGACATATGAAGCTGACAAGGCTCCACACATAACACGTTTTACGTATATTGACTAATATCGGTTTCGTTCCGGTTAGAATATCACAGTATTTAAATTTTGCTCGTACAGTAAAGCTTCGCATGTGTACTTGTATCGTAGGGGGTTATCTCCCCATCACACCTATCGATCTACAATACAGATATACGATATTTAAATCGCCTCCATCTCATCTACAATGTATACATATATGATTATAACATGTAAATCATTTAACACAGGTACAATGTATACATTTCTAGACTTGCTTATGTCCAGTTACAGCAACCACCGACCTGCGTCTTTATCGGCGATTCACGTCAAACCTGTGACCAAATGGCGGAGGACTAGTAGTCGTAGACGGTCAGATGCCTTAACCACTTGGCCACTGCGGCCCTCTCATTAATACTTTTCCCTTTGAGGCATATTTCGATCCATAATGTAAGCTATTGATAAAAGAGATGTGACGATAACCGAGTGATATAAAATGACCTATTTATTTTGGTTAAAAGTGTGTAAAATGTCGAAAGTCGAATCGTATTTGATGTTTATATCAGTCATCGATACCTAGTTTCAGTGGTGTATAAAAAAATCTACATCCCTCATTCATTTCATTTATTTCCACTGTGATGTGAAACTGTAGGTCACTGTAGCAATGTTTTAGTGTGCGTCACAATTCACCCATATATGTAACGGCATGTTACACTGTACATTTGGTGAATAGGGTCCACGCGGAACATGTCTTGTAATCAAGCTGTGTGATACCTCGGATGATATACTAAGAGTCACCAATGCAATTTAAAGAACTATCTGCATGGTCCAGGCAAAGAGTTATTCCCCCTTTGCCCACGACCATCACTGTAAACACGGAGTTAGTGTGTGAAGGATGGTACCGGACGAACAAGGCCGTGAATATAACGAAAAAATCATATTTAAGATATGCTATGTTATAATGACTTTGTATTATAGGTTTTTTACATCGTTCTCGTGGATTTTCTTTTCTGAAAAGACGAGTTTGGTGTTGTCCTCCATTTGATAAAAAATATTTCATAATTATTTTAAAATAAATAACGTTTAATTGAATAAGTAGGATATGTGTAGCCCCTGTCATGATACATAGATATCTGTAATAACAACTTAATGTATGACACATACACTGGATGAAACTTTTAATATCATAATTGTGATGACAAAACTTTATATATGTATGATTTATAAAATTTACACTATATAATATAGCATACATGTTATATTTAATAAATTTTTAGCATGACATACAATACAAATGAAAACTGTTTTTACCGTGTTGGTGGGCCGCTTGTTATTTCCGGTAAAATACTTGTAAGGCTACTTGTAATCTTCGGTTCGTCTTCGTAAAAATACCCCAAAACAACATAATCAGTTATTTTAGCGTTCTCTGATTTTAGCGCATTATAGATTTTTAATAGATTAGCGCGTTGATGTATTGGCGCATCCCAAAAATATTTTATCGAGAACATCATGCAAAAACTTTATTTGGCGCATTCATGATTTGGAGCAATAATTCAAGTGCGAAAAGAGCTAAAATGAGAATACCGCTAAAATATCTACATTTACAGTATATCTCTGTTTCACAGACGCTCAATTTCTTAGTCTTAACCTTACTCTCACAAACAAGTCTGTACTACGGGACGCTTGAAAAATAGTATCTTTAATAAATGTGTAAGGTTGGTGAACTAGCGACTCGGATAGCAGTGTGCCGAACAAGTCCGGAGGTCGAGTTCTATAACGGCGACTATTAAGGGAATATGCTACGTGACAATGACATAAATCTCCACAAAAGAGTTCTACACCAAAAAATACATAAAATATTTAAAAATATAATGTTGATTTTTAACTGATTAATCAATTAATTAAAGACATATTTATAAGGTGTTACATATATTGATACTGAAATCCAATGTCAATATGAATCATGGTAAATAAAGGCTATTAATTAAAAAAAATATGACAGTATGTCCAGTCGCGTTCGCACAACACACTAGCTGCAGAAATCGTAGCTTTAAAAAGTCCGATAGATTTCTTTTTTGATTTTTGAAGTAATACATATCGGGCCGTTGAGCTATACGGTTTCCGTACACTAACACACAAATTAACACGCAATAGCATACGTAATATATCATACCGAGGAATTACGGTAACAACCTCGGCAGTACTGATATCACAGGGGCTAGACACATGCTATCAATGAAAAACGTTATTTGAGAATATGGATGATGCTGCTTTTAAGACCAATACAACGATGTGTTTGGCCCCTGTGGTTTCCAATCTCATCTCCTTAAACAAAGCCTATGTTACCACAGAACAAATATATAGACAAATATCATGTATGACACATTTCTTATAGGTATCACAGTACATTAGAGGCAATTTCTTTCACAGATATTGATTTTCTCCCATCTTAAATCAATTATTTAACACATCTCTATATTTTCTGTATGAAGTAACACTTTGAATATATCTTCCATGTACGGGACTTTCTGCCACCATCTTTGTTTGGAAATGTTGAATCTCAATCGTCTATTTCCGATTTAGATTCGTAAATGTTCGGTAGCAATCGTCAATTTTAGGAATCTGTTCGTGGTCCCTCAGATGTTTCATATACGTGCAAAGGCTTTGAAACCTTTGTTCATGGTTGTCCAGCTCGGCCGGTCATATTGTTTGTGGTCTGTGGCCGATTCCGGCCGTTTAGACTTGATCATGAGCATATGTTTGTTGAAGAGCTGGGCGTACGGTTTAAGCTGGTAGACCTTTATTGGCACGTGGTAGTGGAGATAGTATGGCAAGTCCATGAAGCCTCCCCCCACGCGCACCATCGTCTGCTTGCCCTTCTTGCGCGTGCGTCGTTTGGGCTAAGGAAGAGATAAACGTACGATTTTTGTAAAGTCCTGTGAATTAATGAAAATTCTGAAAAAAATGCTAATAATGAAGTTAATTAATTAATAAATAAATAAATAATGTTTGCATATAATAGCTAGCACTGGGGTTACTTAAACAAATTACACACTCATTGGAGGTATACTACTTTACCTTAGCTTAAGTTTTGATCAAACTCTCTTAAGAAATGAAGTTGCTAGAATCCAGTCACTGAATTGGTTGAAAAATATATATATGAATAGTTAATGTGTCCTTGACCTTGAACCCCTGAAATACGAACTCATTTGAACTACTCTCACACTTGACATTTGTATAAAGTTCGATCAAAATAAATTATATATCTTGAGCAAGGATAGGACAGGAAGGGAGGAATAGTGGAAACATTTTATGCCTCTCATAAAATAATAGGTGTTTTAAAAAAATGACCGGGCAACTGCACTTGCCACAATCTTTACCCAGAGTTGTCGTTCCTGACACTCGCTAACACAGTGAGTGTCAGGAACGGCAACTCTAGGTAGAGATTGACACCTGCCACTGCATAAGACCGAGTTCACAGTTTACGGTAAACCCCCCTATTATATGGGTTAACCTGTTAAGTGCTATTAACACATGCATAGTTTAGAAGTTTGACAAACCTCCCATATGTCGTAAGGGACATAAATCGGTTCAGCATGCACTTCCTGTGTAATCGTCTCCAAATCTATCAAAATCACGTGTTTCGCTCGATCCTCAAGCTCGTCCTTGTCATTGGCAGAGTTTGACCTTAGTCGTCCCTTTTCATCGCGCCTTTTTTTCGTCCTTGGTTTTGCTTCATTTTCTCCAGTTAATTTATCAACTTCCGGTTTTGCAGTTTTTAGGGGTTCCACATTTTCAACTTCCGGAATAAGCTCAACAGAGTCAGACCAATCCGAATCGGCGTTTTCTACCACTATAAGGTCCTGAGATGCATTATGGGTAATCTCAATGTAGGTGGAGAACGAACTTTCTTTCCGGGAAGACAATCGTTCCCTTTCCTGTCTCATCGACGAACTAACGCTATCCTCGGATCCAGGTCTAGGAATAAGTTTAACCGGACTACTAAATTTATCCTTCGGAATAACATTTTCATTTGCACTGGAATCTTTCACATTCTTTAATGTCTCTCTATCCTTTGCTTTGGAATTTTCACCTTTCTTAGAATTTTTGGATTTTTTCTTGCTAGATTTCTTAGCAGATATCAGCGTTTCCGACGTTTCCAACGAAATCTGCACGCCTCCTTCGAATCGAGAGGGGTGTGGTTTCTTACCAAGTGTTTGTCGCGGTGATGTTATTGCCTCTAATTCGGCCTGTTGAGAGGGATTCTTTCGCCGATTTGTCACCACAATTTGTTTAGACGAACTGTTTCCTTGCGCCATGTTGTTTCTAGAAAGGGGACGTCCCTTATGACATATACATCCGATACCCCGTCCCGTGTAGTAGTTATCTTTACGGACTGGCGTTGAAAACCTTTATACATTCACCTGAAAGCGACCAGGTAAAATATCCAGGTGTGCATATATATCACACCTATCGTCCAGATATAATGTCTCGTTGCTCAAGGATACTATATCGTTCCCGGGATTTTAAACCACCTATATAGGAGTCTTTACAAAAATGTTAACCAGACACACGTGTGTAATGTATTCCACTAATGACTCATATGGCATGTAGCATGGAGAACCTGTAAATGTCTCTTACACTGCAACGGTTATTACGATACGAGCACCTGCCTGTACCCTTCACCTCTACCGTAATTGAATAATAACCCTCTACTACTTATACACAGGTAAACAATCTACCTTACATTGAAATATCTCTTTGAGTCCCATTATAAAAATACATAAAGCCACCTCCAACGCCACCAACACTACGACGACGGAAAATCAATTTTTCGTGGTGCTTGAAATCCTGTTATATACATATATTTTTTCCATAAATGATATCGCTGTTGGTACGTGCGTACATGTAATTCGGGGGACTTATTTCCCCTGGTAAGAAATCTAACGCAAACAATTGTAATCTTTTTTATTGGAACCTTATCAGGGAAGTCAAGACGGTTTGGTAATATAAACCGTTAACGATAGGCCCACTTATATACAATGTACACGGGTGTTGGGGCTTTAAGCGCTGTAAAACAATGCTTCCGTCACGATCCGGTGCGACGAAACGACTTAACTGTATCGTTGAAGGCACATATTGTGTATTTGTCCTTAACATACCGACATATCGTCTTATCTAGGGAGTTTTTAAACTCATCTACCCCTCTTCCACTCCCCATATCATGCTAGCGTACAGATGTAGCACAGTACAGTTCTATGCAGATACATACATATACATATATATACATGTACATGTCAGTCATGATTTTAAAGCAGTGTATCCCTACCACTATATTATTTTGAAAGAGCATGTCAGCGGGTCGATCAGATTAAAACACTGATGTTTCATAAGGTTATTACCCCATATATACACATATATATATCTCATCTCATAAAATATGCTGTCTTATATTAAATAAAGTTCGCATTTCCTTGACTCGATTTGCCAAAGACGCCGTAGTCACTTTGAGATAATGTCAATTATGGTCTTTTATTGAGGTGAATATGTGGTTATATGAACCTGTGAAAGTATATTAACCGAGATGAATTCGGGTCTATATCACTGTTTGAGTCGATATAACCACATAGTCAGCAAAATGAATTTGTTGGTTATATTTGATATGAAATTATGATATTCATATCAACATTAAACAAGATGGAACGTATGAAAATTCGTTCAGAGAAAATTACTGCATTTCTCAGGGATATTTTGACGTCACAATGGGAGCTATCAAAGTGTAAACGCCAGAAGGAGGCGACTCTTTTCCATTTCCAATATTCAAGGTCTGACTTAACAAACTCTGATGAAACATCTTTCTCTATTTTCATGGTATACTTCATAGAGTTCCAACTTGAAGAGTTCTGACCTTACGAGGGTACAATCTTTTAAAACATTAACCGGAATTCATATTTTCTGTCATGATATTTGAAGCAACACTAATTCGTCATTGTAAACATTCGCAAGCTCGGTGTAACCATGTGTAGTTGGCTTATCTGACGTGTATCTTGTTATCACGTGACCGTACCTGCACGTGACTGGTAAATGCCATCTACCATTCATCACGGGTGCCACTCAATTCCACTGATCGTTCATATTGATTTTGGTGATAGTTTTTGTAGTGTGTTTCAGTAAACAAGAATATAGATTTTAAATTACTCCCTTGTTGAATGACGTGTGAAGTAATATTGGCCCCCAGAGACGGCACATGCATATTTCCATTTGAACAATGTCCATAAATCATTTCAGTGCTGAAGTTTTTCGATTGTTATTGATTAACACATATACCACACATTGTGTTGCTAGTATACCGAGAGCTAAACTTCATGTGATTATCCCTGTGTGTTTGTGGCAAAAAGGGACCACTGTATGTTTATAAATGGCGATTGTTGATTGGGGTACCTGTAGGATTGAGGTTCGTCGTTTCCACGAGGAAAAAAACCCCGTCAGCTCAATGACTTCAATTTTTGCTATAATTTTCCTCACTCAATGTATTAAAAAAGCAAAGCGATGACAATTCCATTGTTACATAATATATTTATTACAAAAATCAAATCAACATCTTTGTATATAGGATTACGTACATTAATAAATGATTGCATAAGTACATTTCTTCTACAACCACTATGGGTTTCTTTAATCCCAACTCATTGGATACACCTGCTAGGAGTTGGTTAACCATTGTTTGGTAACCCACTAGTGGGTAACATCGTGGACGTGATTTCATTGGTCAATCTTCGAACTATGACGTCAAGTAACAATTATTTGCGACGCCATCTTTCATTTTGAGGTCATCGTTGCTTCCCCATAGGGAACAGGAATAATGTATTTCCGTGAGAGACAGATGGTGCTCTATAGGTGTACTATCTGATCATTATGGAGAAAAGGGTCCCCAGACTCGTGATGGTATATATTATCATACTTACAATTGTGAAAGACACTCGGTAAACTTAACTAGCTCGGGTTAGATTATACACCACCACTCGTTGGGGAGCGAAAAGAAGGGCCACATTATGCCTACATGTATCTTCGCGTCCCTTTCTGACACTTGACCAAACTCGATTGCTATTTTTTTCTCTCCTGTTTTTCTTTTCAGAAATGATTAAGGAAAAAACCCGTTTCCTAAAGCTTAAGCTTGTTACGGTTTTTGGCAGTGCTGCGGGATCCTTAACACGAATTAGTTAGCGTTTGAGTCTTGGTTTACACTCGCAGTAACTGTTTGGCATTGAGTTCTAATCACGAATACATCAATAGTTCCTGACAATGTTATTGTCGACATTAACTAGCAACCATTAGAGCTATCATTATAGAGCTATAGAACTATACTCAAATGACAATATTTTATTTGCCAATGAAACTGTTTGCAAAATAATGATACCAATTAAAAGAACGAATCGCTTTTATTTATCTATCCAAGTGTACTTTATCAACATCATTGATTAACCAGGTGGGTCGTCTGCCGAGTGATTCGGCACACTGTTGTTTACCTACACGACTTAACCAATTCTCCTCAAGGCTAAATCAATTACCCAGAATTACTTTGCATTCTTTTTTTACTGTAATAGAGTTGGTTCACAGGGACCTGAGAATGTAGCTTAGGTCAAAATATAGCTGTAACAAATTCTCCGGTCCCTGTGAGTTGGCTCACTTCGTTTGGATGAAATGAAACGAACGTGCCGAGAATAGAACTGAACAAATACACTCAATAGAGTGTCAAAACCCCTGTCATGTGACCCAATATAATTCTTATCAAGCAAATACAATTCTTTGCAACGTCCCATTTATTAACACTCTTTGTGGGAGAAAAGTTGTATGTCAGGTTTCAACTGTTTTCCTGGTATCATAATAAAAAATAATAAAATGTCTGATTAAGGATGTATGCTATGTAACATTTATAATCTTTCTAAAAGAGTTGCGGCACACTTATAGGAGCCTTTAATATCTGCATTGGATCTACTTTTAGACTTCGTTAATTTACTAAAGGCACAAAATATTTATATTGAAAATGGCATGCGTCCTTAGCAACACATTTCCCGAATTTTGGTTATATAGATTCCAATCACACGTTCTTTTCACAAACATCGGAAAGTACCGATCACTAGCGGAATTTACCGATTCGGTGACGTCACTTTCCTCGGGCGATGATGCTTTACAACTTCAACCCAGTGTTGTCCCTGTCTTAGAACAACAGTCTACTGTACCATAATGATAATAACACAATTACTCCGAGTATGACATTTCTTGAATAAATACAAGTTACACATTTAATAACATTATTTCAAAGGAGAAAAACCTAATAAGTATTTTAGATGATATTGTTTTCCTTGAAAATGATAATATCCAAATAAATCACAAATACGGTTAATATTATATATACATTCGGGTGAAAGTATTATTGCGTTTTGGCACGTTTCAAACCCCTTCCCTGCCGATCTGTAAGCTAAGTAGCATTGTCTTATATAGGACGGGTCTATTTTCAATTTTAAAGGGTTTCTCAGTTTTAACCTTCGCTGGATGTGAATATTCAATATACACATCAAAAACCCTTCATTGTACCTTTCCTGAAAATCGAATGAGCCAGATATTAAGGAAGAAAGATGATAGATGTAAGAAAAATACAGCTACTTCTCATTTCTTTTTTGACACTTTACATTTTAATTTTATTTTATTGATTGTAATTATGGAAACTTCAGAACCTCTATGATACTGGAAAAAATAACGGTAATATAAACTAGTTCCGGAAATCAGAGGAAACCCATGTACAGCCCTTAAATATAGGCTATAATAGGGTGTCTCTTGTCTCAGTACATTTGTAGAGTACCCAACACCACAGTTAATTAAGGTTTCCTACCACGGACTTGCATTCATTTGCTTATAATAGAAAGCTGTATACAGTATGATGAAATGTAATAGTCTGTTATATCATACACAGTGTAAAAGTGGTCAACGCTTCGCCTCAGTTCAATAACTACATGTAACGGTACATTTCTAAACTTTGTTTTCATTATGAACTAGCTTTTGATATACTTAGATTGTGTGGAATTCATCTTGTTCTCCAAACGGAATCTGTCGGCATTTTCCGTCAACGAGAAACTCGTTTACGACGTTTCCGAAAGTGGCGACGGTCACCGAGTCTTCGCCGATCCTGAAACCAACGTTTGTGCGTTTACCCCCTTAACATAGAGAAAAATTGAATTGAAATTTACAGAGTCTTAAATGTAATAATCCAACAAAAATATGTCAGCCTTTCATTCTTATGAAAATTGTCAAATACAACATGTGCATTCACAGTTCCTGTCTAATCTGACCAATGTGATGTGTTCCACAGGATGTCAAATAAGACAGGTTTCATTGCTGCATCAGTAGAGGACAAAACATGGTTCAACTTCCCTACACCATAATAAGAAATATTCTAGATAAAAAACTAAAATTTTGGTACAACTTAAATCGTGTTTATCTTCAGAAACTGTGAGAACCTGTAGTAAACCACTTAACATGTTTGTATCATTGAACCTATGTCAATCATCCAATTTGATTTCAGTGTCCATTTAAATAGTCTTCAGTACACGGAAAAAACTGCGTCATCATGTTGGTGGTAGTTGATTGTTGGGCGTGGTGGTTTCCGGGGCGGGGCTCGAGTCTTGACAACAAGGAAACGGTCGTTGGTATCGGCACTCCTGCGGTCATACACATCTAGGGGGCGGTACTGGCGCGGGGGAAGGGGAGGCCGGGATTTTACTCTCCCTGGGGTGTGGGGGCGTTTGTCTCGGGATTCCGGCTGCAATAACAGGTTGTCACATTTTTGTAAGATCATGTAGTTGAAACATGGTTACAGAAACAAATCCGTCACGTATCTCACAATTCTTTAGGATTCTGAGAGGGTGGTGATTTATATATATTTAAGTTCAATGAAAAATAATATCCTAAACATATACTTAATACTTTACTTAACCATTCTGATCATAGGTTGTAGATATAGTTACAGACTTCCTTTGTGTTTAAAAATAACATTTACATATTCAATCATGGGAAATTTAATCTATGAATAAACATAAACATTAAACAAATGATGACTATAGCTTCAGATTATATTTCTTATAAAGATAAGGCAAGGAAAATAACATTTTATCTTAAATTACCTCTTAGTACAGTTCTTATACATTGTATCTAAAATCGGTAAAAGGTGAAAAGGTTGAAACCAACATTTTTACGCATTTGTATATTATGGGCGCCACTTATCGGAAACCAGTTTATTTAGGAAATACTAGACTTACCTCCCATGCCGGATGTGGCATAACAAATACTGGCTCGAACGGTTCTATGGCGCGAGCAGGTACTGTTTTGTCTATATAGTGTATCACTTCCGGTCGACGGTCATTTTCTTGCACGGATTTTTCATCCACATATTCCTCGTCGTCTTCATCCGGTTGAACGACTTCAACCACGAGTGGGATATCATCGTCTGTCATTGGCCGAACGAGCTTTTGGTCGTCGATGAAGGCGGTCTTATACTCCCGGTGCGTTCGGTCCTCGCCCATGAACTTGATACGCCGGGACGGCGGACAAGAACCGGAAGTAGGCGCTGGGTCTGGATCTGTATCCATCCAGGCCGTCTGGGTGCCTGTTTCCTCAGAAAATGTAATAGCATTGTTATTCTCAAAAGCATTTCTACTTGTATCCTTGATCCTTTTTTGTGACTTCTTTGGTTTGCGCTCTTTTCGAATTATATTACTTTGACTAGAATCACTGTCCTCGTTTTGTGGTTTGTGAACAACGACGTCAGTATCTCCACTAGCCACATGAATGGTGTTCGATCCTTTATTAGGTAATCCCGTTCTTTTTGGATTATGAATTACGACGTTCGTTCCCCCTCCCGTCACGCGAAGGGTTTCTTTGGGACCGGATGTGCCCCTCCGTACATTGTCAATTGTTATGTTAGTAGGGTCCTTTGTGGTTCTTCCTGTATTTACTTGGAATGAGCTCCCCTTACCAAAGTTACTGATAACAAACCTGTCATGTTCCGGTTCCGGTTTTCTTTGTTGGCGTGCTTTTCTCCCATACCCATCTCCCATAGTCACCGAGAGATTCCGAGGATCCGTTCCCCATTTCACAGCTACAGATTTTGACTCAGACCCAATCTCGAACGCGAGTGTTCTAGGTTTTCTCCTCACATCCTCCTTCACCTTTTCACGCGCCTCTCGCGCGGATTGAGGTCGTTTTTTGAGGCGTAGACTTTCTTCGTATGAAGCTTCAGATCCATATTCTAAAGCGTGCGATTTAGGCTTTCTCTTTGAAACTTCTTTTATTTTCTCACGTGGAAGTCGAGCGGAACTTGGCCGATCTTTCACGAGCGTTCCTTCGTCACGTGACGTGTCTGACTCGTACCTTTCATCGTATTTCCTGGCAGATGAAGGTCGTTTTTTCAGTGTCTGCTTCTGACTCTTCCCTGACCTGGGTCTCCGGCCCCTGGTCATCCCCCCTGGTGACCAAGCGTTTGTCCATGTTAACTCGTTGTAAAGCCTTTCACGGACGCGTCTCTCAGCCTCAATCACATCACAAAGATGCTTTAGCTGAAAGTCGTCGAAACAGTAGATCATTTTATATATGTATGCCTTTTAACCAGTATATCTAGAGTTTAACATCCATGTTTCTTCCATCGAGGTTTGTCGCAGTGGTTTACCCCGACACTGTGTACACACCAACTACTGACTACGGTGTGGGGAGATATAATCTAACACGCGATCCATTGTTCCAAATCTTTATACGTCTTTTGAAATTAAACAGTAAAGGGTATTGCTTGAAAGATTGTCTAAGGCTAATACGCCTGTCAATGGTTCCTGCCGTGCAATGACTGTTATTTGCATAAGAATGTACTGATAAATGATCAATACGAATACCTGGTTTTGCCAGTTCTTCAAATACTCGACACGACAGATGAATAATAATCGATGTTTAAATGGATTTTTAAGAACGTTTATTTTTTTGAAAATGTAAAATAGTCGAGTTGGCCTTCATACGATAACACAGAGTTACTAGTCCAAATAAGATTGGATAATAAGCTTTATTTTTTAAATCAAATGAGCTTGTTGATAGTGTGAAGTGTCGTTCAAACACATTCCATGCAGTTGTTAATTATACAGCGTGGTTGGATTTGTGCGAGATAAAAAAAATCGTCCTTTTAAACTCGGGCTGAATTGATTTGCCCAACCTGTGTATGTATAAATGTACTATAGCCTTAAATTTATATGAATTATCTATTTAAAATCCAAATGAAATAAACATCATTTAAATATTTTGTCTAAAGACCGGTTGTCGGGTGGTGCAGTGGATAGCGCACTCGCCTTTCGCCAATGCGACCGGATTTCGATTCCCCGATCGAACATGAAAAGGTATTGGGGTCACCTGCCCGACCACGTGGGTTTTCTCGGGTTACTTCCTCCTACATTTAAACCCTCCGCGTGCTAACATCCGGGCTTACAAAAATGATTAGTATAAGTTGCACTAACTTGTTTTATGATTGTTGTGAAATACATAAAGTTTATATTTAAAGACAATTCGCTTTAATTTTAAGGTTTGAGTGCTTAAGATAACTTCCGGTTTCTGCGTTACGTCAGAGATTTGTGTTGTTGTTGGCAGATATATAAATGCTGGTCAAGGCATGAGTTAAAAAAGACAGGAGTCTAGAACTATGAAGTATGTACTTGCTTCCGGCTTAGCCGCTGGCTCATAATATCTATACGGTAGAGATTCTCGCCCTACAGCCAATTATGGTAGTGTAATTGTTTATACATACAATTGCTAGGCATGCAGAGAAAGTATGCTACCAGAATTGTTACCAGGTCGATTCCGACACCTGCTGACTTAGTCCCTACACCTTTCCTACAGATATTCCAGTCACCTTCTTTTCCCAGTAGATCACCAAACTAACTTAATTAAGTAATTTAATTTAGCATTAACTAATTTCAACAAAAGAATTTTCCTGCTAGGGGATTTTTTAGGTGGAGCTGAAAATATATAATTATTTATCTAATACTGTATTCTACAATGGAAAAGCATAGGGAACATCTACAAATGTATAGCACCTGGGAGTTTTAATCATCTTAATTATCCCAGCTTAAGACTACAACATTACAACATGGAAACAACTGAGGATCCAACCCTGTTACCGTACGTAAGTCATGGGTATATTTTTAAGTGAGTGGTACACACCCTATGGGCCTCTTGTGTATTGATTATATAAATAAATCATGTAATAAGTATAACGTATCACAAACAGGGGACTGCACCTTAAAAATTTAGTAATAGATACAGTATGTCAAAAATGAATTACACTGCGACATACAGCTGTATTACGTATCGGTGAGACTAGGGACCGAAACATTGGAAATTCAAACAGGTCTAAACTACTGTTGAAACAGGCAGTGAGGTGCATTAAATCACTCTGTTGACAATTCTAAACTTTTAGAGTACTGGCTGATTATAAGTTAATTAGTTAAGTGTGTATATTATGAACCATGCAATTAGATCTATAGTTACATATTCCAAGTAGCTTGTCGGCTCCGTGCATTACTTATAGGTTATATATATAGCGGTATATCTCGCGGTCATGTAACGGTAAAAAATGTAATCTTCAAAGGACAGGTATCGGCCTAGCGATTGGTCAGGTTTTTTTTTTACCTGAGACCAATCAGACAGCTATCTTTGTGCCTTCAATTTTGCTATGTCATATTCCAGGGGTGTAGAGAGTGAAAGTGAGCGTAACCCCCATCCTCGATATCCAGGGGTTACGCTCACTTTCGCTTTCTGCACCCCTGGAATATGTCATAGCAAAACTGAAGGCTCAAACTAGTTCGATCCTTTAAATTCTTTTGATGCACATCCATCAAAAGAATTTCGCGGTCACGTAACGGAAAAAAATGACAGGCTTTGAAGTCGGTTGTCTTCAAAATCTTCAAAAGACAGGTATCGGCCTAGCGATTGGTCAGTTTTTTTTACCTGAGACAACTATATTTGTGCCTTCAATTATGCTATGACATATTCAAGGGGTGTAGAGAGGGAAAGTGAGCGTAACCCCTGGATATTGAGGATGCCCCTGTGGTCTAACCACGTATCATTCGTTGTGCTTGTAGAGACGGTTTGCTCCACAGGAAATTAGATCAAGTCCGTAACAATCTGCATCGCCTAAAATTAAGATAGCGATGTTAATTCTTACCTGGTAACCTAACATGAAAGTATAAATGGTGTAAGGGAAGTAACTCGTGATATTTGACTCTTTTTTTTTGTATAAGTTGAGGGTATGGCTTAATGCTAGTTGGCTTTGATATAATCAGAATTAAAGGTAGATTAGTTACATATTGGTGAGTCACCTATATACATTTCGTACGTGTAGCTACCATTCTTATAAAACAGAAAATTTGGTCACTTAAGCTCACTATTATATTTATCATTGAATAACACACAGCAAAGGATATAACTTCCTAGACAACTTGGTCTAGCAAATAGATAATAATAATGTAGGGATTTTCATGATGACTGTCTATGAGTCAAACTTTGCCTTACAAATAAACTAAATAGACAAATAACTTACATTTGTAGTTGCTCAAATTAAATGTTTTAACAGAGATAATTGGTCTCTAACTAACTTACCCATGGGAGTCTCTCGGACAAAAGGTTTTCCACGCTGTCTATATATGTCAGTTCTTTTGTGCATCCCATTCCCTATATTATATACACTGTCACCAACAATCACTAGACTTTGTATGTGATTACTTCCCAAAACGTTGAGGCTTTGTGTGTCACCTACTGGAAACAAGTCTTGTGTCTAACTACATAGGAAAGAGTTATGTCCCTTTGAGCAGTTTTTATACTGTAGTTAGTTTGAAATTGTAGTAGCCATGATGGAAAAGAACTATAGATTGCATGCAATACATTGCCTTGGTTTATTGACTCCTTTAATGAAAACAAGTATTCTAGTATTCCTTTACGCATTCATATCATTAGTGATTTATTTAAAAATGGGTACAACGAAAACGTTTATCGGAAAAGTATTAATTAATTAGGTAGGTACCAATCTGATTTAAACCAGATCTTTGATTCCACTCCCGATGCTCTACGTTCCAGTCAAAGATCCTTTGACTGAAACGTAGAGTTCGGGAGTGGAACCAAAGATCTGGTTTAAATCAGATTGGGTAGTACTATCCAGCAGTCATACATTTAGTTTAGTAGAGGGGTATACATTTAGTAATACTTACTAAACGCTATGGTAAAATACACTAAAAGCTATGCCAACTTGTTACGGCACTCTATGGTAACTGTTACTGAACACTATGGTAAAATACACTAAAAGCTATGACAACTTGTTACGGCACTCTATGGTAACTGTTACTGAACGCTTTTGTAAATGAAAGCTAAGATAACTGTTACTGAACGCTTTTGTAAATGAAAGCTATGGTAACTGTTAATGAACGCTTTTGTAACGGAAAGCTATGGTAACTGTTACTGAACACGTTTGTAACGGAAAGCTATGGTTACTGTTATTGAACGCTTTTGTTACTGAAAGCTAAGATAAATGTTACGGAACACTTTTGTTACTGAACGCTTTTGTTACTGAAAGCTATGGTTACTGTTACTGAACGCTTTTGTTACTGAAAGCTAGGATAACTCTTACTGAATACTTTTGTAAATGAAAGCTATGATAACTGTTACTGAACGCTTTTGTTACTGAAAGCTAAGACAACTGTTATTGAAAGCTAATATAACTGTTACTGAACGCTTTTGTTACTGAATACTAAGATAACTGTTACTGAACACTTTTGTAACTGAAAGCTATGATAACTGTTACTGAACGCTTTTGTTACTGAAAGCTAAGATAACTATTACTGAACACTTTTGTAAATGAAAGCTATGATAACTGTTACTGAACGCTTTTGTAAATGAAAGATATGGTAACTGTTACTGAACACTTTTGTTACTTAAAGCTATGGTTACTGTTTCTGAACACGTTTGTTACTGAAAGCTAAGATAACTGTTACTGAACACTTTTGTAAATGAAAGCTATGATAACTGTTACTGAACGCTTTTGTAACTGAAAGCTATGATAACTGTTACTGAACACTTTTGTAACTTAAAGCTAAGATAACTGTTACTGAACACTTTTGTTATCGCACTCTATGGTTACTGTTACTGAACACTTTTGTTACTGAAAGCTAAGATAAATGTTACGGAACACTTTTGTTACTGAACGCTTTTGTTACTGAAAGCTATGGTTACTGTTACTGAACGCTTTTGTTACTGAAAGCTAGGATAACTCTTACTGAATACTTTTGTAAATGAAAGCTATGATAACTGTTACTGAACACTTTTGTTACTGAACGCTTTTGTTACTGAAAGCTAAGACAACTGTTATTGAAAGCTAATATAACTGTTACTGAACGCTTTTGTTACTGAATACTAAGATAACTGTTACTGAACACTTTTGTAACTGAAAGCTATGATAACTGTTACTGAACGCTTTTGTTACTGAAAGCTAAGATAACTATTACTGAACACTTTTGTAAATGAAAGCTATGATAACTGTTACTGAACGCTTTTGTAAATGAAAGATATGGTAACTGTTACTGAACACTTTTGTTACTTAAAGCTATGGTTACTGTTTCTGAACACGTTTGTTACTGAAAGCTAAGATAACTGTTACTGAACACTTTTGTAAATGAAAGCTATGATAACTGTTACTGAACGCTTTTGTAAATGAAAGCTATGATAACTGTTACTGAACACTTTTGTTACTTAAAGCTATGGTTACTGTTTCTGAACACGTTTGTTACTGAAAGCTAAGAGAACTGTTACTGAACACTTTTGTAAATGAAAGCTATGATAACTGTTACTGAACGCTTTTGTAACTGAAAGCTAAGATAACTGTTACTGAACACTTTTGTAAATGAAAGCTATGATAGCTGTTACTGAACACTTTTGTAAATGAAAGCTATGTTAACTGTTACTGAACGCTTTTGTAAATGAAAGCTAAGATAACTGTTACTGAACACTTTTGTAAATGAAAGCTATGATAGCTGTTACTGAACACTTTTGTAAATGAAAGCTATGTTAACTGTTACTGAACGCTTTTGTAAATGAAAGCTAAGATAACTGTTACTGAACACTTTTGTTACTGAAAGCTAAGATAACTGTTACTGAACGCTTTTGTTACTGAAAGCTCAGAGAACTGTTACTGAACACTTTTGTAAATGAAAGCTATAATAACTGTTACTGAACGCTTTTGTAACTGAAAGCTATGATAACTGTTACTGAACGCTTTTGTTACTTAAAGCTAAGATAACTGTTTCTGAACGCTTTTGTTACTTAAAGCTAAGATAACTGTTACTGAACGCTTTTGTTACTGAAAGCTAAGAGAACTGTTACTGAACACTTTTGTAAATGAAAGCTATGATAACTGTTACTGAACGCGTTTGTAACTGAAAGCTATGATAACTGTTACTGAACGCTTTTGTTACTTAAAGCTAAGATAACTGTTACTGAACACTTTTGTTATTGCACTCTATGGTTACTGTTTCTGAACACTTTTGTTACTGAAAGCTAAGATAACTGTTACTGAAAACTTTTGTTACGGCACTCTATGGTTACTGTTTCTGAACGCTTTTGTTACTGAAAGCTATGATAACTGTTACTGAACGCTTTTGTAACTGAAAGCTATGATAACTGTTACTGAACGCTTTTGTTACTTAAAGCTAAGAGAACTGTTACTGAACACTTTTGTTATTGCACTCTATGGTTACTGTTTCTGAACACTTTTGTTACTGAAAGCTAAGATAACTGTTACTGAAAACTTTTGTTACGGCACTCTATGGTTACTGTTTCTGAACGCTTTTGTTACTGAAAGCTATGATAACTGTTACTGAACGCTTTTGTAACTGAAAGCTATGATAACTGTTACTGAACGCTTTTGTTACTTAAAGCTAAGAGAACTGTTACTGAACACTTTTGTTATTGCACTCTATGGTTACTGTTTCTGAACACTTTTGTTACTGAAAGCTAAGATAACTGTTACTGAACACTTTTGTTACGGCACTCTATGGTTACTGTTTCTGAACGTTTTTGTTACTAAAAGCTATGGTAACTGTTACTGAACGGTTTTGTAACGGAAAGCTTTGGTAACTGTTAATGAACGGTTTTGTAACGGAAAGCTTTGGTAACTGTTACTGAACGCTTTTGTAACGGAAAGCTATGGTAGCTGTTACTGAACACTTTTGTAACGGAAAGCTTTGGTAACTGTTACTGAAAGCTTTTTGTAATTGTAATTAGTTATACTATTTGTATTTACCCTTTGTTTTGTTCGATGTCTCTCACTATGTATTTACTGTTTGTTTTGTTCGATGTCTCCCACTATATACTAGCTATACTATATGTATTACATTGTAACTGATTGTTTTGTTCGACGTCTCCCACTATGTATTTACTGTTTGTTTTGTTCGATGTCTCCCACTATGTATTAGCTATACTCTATGTATTTACTATTTGTTTTGTTCGACGTCTCCCACTATGTATTAGCTATACTCTAAGTGTCTACTGTTTGTTTTGTTCGATGTCTCCCAATATGTATTAGCTATACTCTATGTATTTATTGTTTGTTTTGTTCGATGTCTCCCACTATGTATTAGCTTTACTCTATGTATTTACTGTTTGTTTTGTTCGATGTCTCTCACTATATATTAGCTTTACTCTATGTATTTACTGTTTGTTTTGTTCGATGTCTCTCTCTATGTATTTACTGTCTGTTTTGTTTGACGTCTCCCATTATGTATTAGCTATACTATATGTATTACATTGTAACTGATTGTTTATGTTCGATGTCTCCCACTATGTAAAATGTATTTACTGTTTGTTTTGTTCGATGTCTCCCACTATGTATTAGTTATACTATATGTGGTAACTGTTTGTTTTGTTCGATGTCTCCCACTATATACTAGCTTTAATATTTGTATTTACTGATTGTTTTGTTCGATGTCTCCCACTATGTATTAGCCATATTTTATGTATTTACTGTTTGTTTTGTTCGATGTCACCCACTATGTATTAGCTATACTATATGTATTTACTGATTGTTTTGTTCGATTTCTCCCACTATATACAAGCTTTACTATATGTTTTACTGATTGTTTTGTTCGATGTCTCCCACTATATATTAGCTATACTCTATGTATTTACTGTTTGTTTTGTTCGATGTCTCCCACTATATATTAGCTATACTCTATGTATTTATTGTTTGTTTTGTTCGATGTCTCCCACTATGTATTAGTTATACTATATGTATCTACTGTTTGTTTTGTTCGATGTTTCCCACTATATACTAGCTATACTATATGTATTTACTGTTTGTTTTGTTCGATGTCTCCCGCTATGAATTAGCTATACTTTATGTATTTACTGTTTGTTTTGTTCGATGTCTCCCACTATGTATTAGCTATACTTTATGTATTTACTGTTGGTTTTTTTCGATGTCTCCCACTATGTATTAGCTATACTTCATGTATTAACTGTTTGTTTTGTTCGATGTCTCCCGCTATGTATTAGCTATACTTTATGTATTTACTGTTTGTTTTATTAGATGTCTCCCACTATGTACTAGCTATACTATATGCATTTACTGTTTGTTTTGTTCGATGTCTCCCACTATATACTAGCTATACTATATGTATTTACTGTTTGTTTTGTTCGATGTCAATGTGCTGTCTGCGCACGATGTGTGCACGGTGTGTGCACGGTGTGTGAACGATGTGTGCACGATGTGCGAACGATACAAATCTGGACGATCATTGCCTGCGCACATTTGTGAGGACGGTGGACAATCGTAGTGCGATAACTATCGTGGTTGGTGTAAATTGAGGAATGGCTTTACAATATATACGGTTTCGTGTTTAAACATATAAACTTGAATTTGTAAGTTTGTTTCTATATTCTAGCTTCATCTTTAAGCTTATCTTTCTATCTATACTTTCTTAAATTTAGAAATGGTGCTTCGGTGTTTTTTAATCGACCTAAATCGACACATGTAAAATTACAACAAATATGGAGTTGGTCCCATATACAGGTAAACATAGCCACTTTGTACAGGTACGTACCTGGACCGAAGTTTTCCTTACCCGGGGCACTAATCCAGATGAAGGGGAGCTATAGACCAAACCGAATGCATCTAACAACTAAACGTCCAGTTTTGTTTTCATAACAGTCATACGGTATCATATATCAGCTACCTGTGTCAGGCACAGGCTAGGTAAAACTCCGGGGACTCAGCAAATTGTTATTTACCTGTAGCCAAACCCATTTCTGACAGTCTAACGATCTTTGTAATATTGTGTAACACGCATTGTACAACTGTACACAATCTCAATTGTTGTGATGAGAAATTCCTATATACAGTGTACATTATTGCATACGAGCCTTCCGTATGTTTTCAATTCGTAATATTGATCAACAAATTGTACCAATTCGCACAGTTGTGCGGAGAGAAGCGCAAAAAGGAGCGAACGATTGTGAAATCACACAGTTGTGCGCACCATGTGCGGACGATGTGTGGACGGTGTGCACGATGTATGCACGATGTGCGCACGCTATTTTTGGTGCGGTGTGCGGTCACACATCTGTATGATCTTCTCCGGTTACGTTGTTGCCTAACGTTCCAATGAGTTTCGCTTGCATTTCTGCGTTTCCTGTTTGATTTTGTCTTAAATTTTGTAGTTCTACTAACTATCATCATCTTTACTGTTATTTTAAAGATAATACATAAAATCATGATTATTCGAGGATTTGAAACACATTTCGAAACTTTTCGAAAAGTATTTACAAGAATTACGATCATTTGTTTCACGCCTTGAAGACCATGACAAGTTTCAGGGGCTTCTTTTTGCATCTTTCTTAGATGTTTACTCGCATCATACAATGTCTTGTGGGAATGGACTCCGACGAGATTGTCGGAAAATATTGAATACATCTAGGTAATTGTTCTGTTCTTTCAGTATCTTAAATGAATAATTTTAAATTTTCTCCATGGAACCTCGCTTAGTTATTAATAGTCAGATTTGTTATTAATGTCGCCGTGATTTTTGCCAATTATCTACATACAATCACAGATTACACAAATTGCTTGCTTAATATAATGAAAACTGTGTTTTAGTATATGTATCAAATCCTTAGTATATTGAAGCAATGGGAATAGGACCTCCGAGCGGAGAGCCTATCCAGATGAAAGGAATCGTATTATATTTAGGTTTTTTTCCAAACCTACCAACAAACTGACCCGCGGTTATTCCAAAGAATCAACACCTTGTCCAAAGTTAACTGATGTTTATTTGATAAACCACGGCTAAGTTCGTCGTTAAAACATGATAAATGATACGTGCATCAATGATACCCAACCCCTCCCCCCTGAGCTAACAACACCCTTAAGTCTATCATAACGTTCCCTAACATGGTTGTGCTGATTTCAGTACATGGGCAGCACTGATGGTCGGCGCTTGTGTAGGAATAATGTCCCTCCTTGTATGGCTGGCTTTGTTGTCGATCTCTGTGCATTCCAATTTCCGGCGAAATCCGGTCGTCTCAAAAGCAAACATCCGACTAAGCAAATACCCTACACCAGTGATAGCTGCTACATACGCCGATATAATACTAAGTTGGCAATAAAGGGATATACAAGGAGAGCATAAAAACATTTAGGTTAGTATTACCTGTTTTCTCACAATACCATAACAGATATCGAACACACACATATCTTATCGTTGCCATGAAAATAGATCTGGAGGTTTATCGTCATATCCGAATAGTTTACAGTCTTTCAGAACGTACTCCCTAAACTCTAGCAGTAGCTGTCTGTCCACAGTTTTATACATCTTAACAAACCCTTCGTGTTTGTACTCGGACACACGTGATGGGTCACTGACCTTGACCGCCTCGCGGAGCATCATATCCAAGGTAACGTTTTGAGAATCGGGCATCGGTACATCCGGGTTCACTAAGCCACGAAGTTGGAGTGTCCTCCAAACACGACCATACATCTCTCTCAAGGTCATACAATCTGACATTGTTTTCTGAGCGTTAAACGCATCTATCATCTTAGTGTATAGGTCATCTATTATAGAGGCATTTTTTGACATTGAAATTGATTTATTCTGAAACATGTTGGTTTTACTCATCACATATGACGTATCTTCGTCAAAAGATTCCATTTTACCTATAAAATCGTATTTGATATCGCAAGGTAAGCAGTGAGTGTATATAGGTGAGAAATGGTGATCGATGTTTAGTAGCTGACCATTTCTTTTCTGTTCCACTAAATATCGTATCAGTTCTGTGAATGTCACATCATGACCACAGTTTAAACTTTTAGTTGTTGCATTTTTCCTCATCATTTTTATGATAGGCCTCCCAAGATTTTTCATGTAATTAGGATTTATTGTGTGAAGCTTATCTAAGTATCCAGAAAAAGCACGTTCGTAAGGTTCTCTAACAAACATTGCCGTTGTTGCTGATCTTAAAACACGTTTGGCTTCAATGACATCGAACTGCCCTAAGGTAGGAATATGTTTATCATGGACTTTATGATTATTAATGGAATATATATTTGAAATTTCCTTGTGTTTTAGTGAATAGAATACTCGTCGCCAGAATGTGCAGCCTACTTTCTGTACCATACAGAAGACAAAGTTATGTTTAGAATCGTACAAGAGGTACTTGCTTTTCACATTCGGAAATGTTTGACCCGATTTATCAACGAAACTAGAGTTGCAGACTTCAAGTAGATGGTCCCGCCTTTTTTCAAAACTATCCTCATCTTCCTGTTTAAATAAACAAAAGATACACTGTTTATTGTATTAAACTAAACACTCTAAAGATGTATTGGCGATATGCTATAGGGCATTTAGATTCAAAATTATGATATTTACAACACATAAGAAGAAAATATGACATTGTCAACACGGTGCAAAAGAAAATATGATATTGCCAACACAGTGAAAAAATGCTATGATTTTGTCAATATATCAAAAAAATAAAATAAAAAAAAATATAACTGATATTGTCAAACATTTTAAAAGAGATTAACACACTGAACACCTGTAGAACATAGCTTATATGATGTAAATATCTGGAGAAAAGAGCTCTCATGATATCAACATCTGGAGAAATGAATTATGATAGTGTTAAAACTTAGATATGAAAGATGAACCCAAGATACACGCATTGAATTGCACCTTTATGATTTGATAATAGATACAGCACACCAAAAGTATTTACTCTGCACCATACATCTATTTCGTCCTTCTAGGACTCATCGGTGATGCTAGGAGCCGAAACGTTGGAACTCCAAATTAATCTTAACTATTGTTGAAACAGAAGGGGAGATGTGCAAAACCCCTTTATAACACGAATTTAAAATATTAGAGGAGCACTGGCTCATTGCATATTAATAACTAACGAGTATATTGTGCATGCTCAGATCCGTGCCACTACTCAACTGAGATAATTGAGGCCATCAAAGTTCGGGAAACTTCGGAGACTAAGAAGTCCATCAGCAGATCAGAGTCTACCACCTTGTATCTTAAAAGATGAACCTTTTTACATTTATTTCAAGATGAACCTAATACACATACATGGAACGACACCCTTAATGTTTGGAAACAGATTCAGCACGCCAGGGTAGATAACGCCGTTAACCACTGTGTTTTAGGTATGACAAATTATCCGGGTAATGATGATGCCAACACCACAAACACTTATTTTGCTGATGGAATTTAAAAGGAAAGGATGCAAGAGATGAGCAAGAAAAATATGGTAAAACAGATGTATACATTAAAATCAAAATACTTTGCAAAACCTTCACACTACAAGATTGTCTAGTAATTAGATACCGTGAGGCGACATCGGATACCGAATGTTTGCTTTAGCTTTAATGAAGGATATACAATTGTCTACGTAAATAGTTTCCTCTATATATTTTACATAGTAAAATGAAAAAACTACTTGTAGAAGCGAAGAATAACGAGAATCTGTCTGCAAAATATGATGAGTTCAGTTAGCATGGTAAGTATGACATCTCAATTCTGAAATAGCATGTAAAAGCCGTTCTATCTTAACCGTCACTGTAGGAATATACTGTTATTCATGTGTTGTAAAGCGTCTTAGAGTAATTTTACAAATTATAAATGGCGCTATATAAATGTTGTATGTCGTTATTATTTTATAATGTTAATTAGCACATTTGCAAACATGTTGTACTACTTCATATATGGGTATTTGTTGATAGAGATGTGAGGAAACGGTGATGTATATATTTACATAAACATATATACTAGGATAAAATACAACTGCAGTAAACTGACCTATCTCAATGTATGTGCCTTACTATTACAGTAGAAGCGAACTATCATTGAACTATAACATTGTTTTCTAAAAGGTCATTTACCTCTGTAATTTCATAATGAACTATTCCAACCTTTGAATTAGAAGTGTTCAAATGTGTCTTCAGGGATGAATGAGTTAAAGGCATCATAGCATTCTGATGGATTCCGGAGTCCAAGAAACTGTCTTTGGTTAGATTTTTTCCCTGAAATTAAAAGAAAAAATTAAAAAATAAATATTTTAAATTTTATGCGACAGATAAACGAGATGCGGAAAACGTTTTTATCATAACGTTCGTTATAAGGTGAAGATAGTAACGATTTTCGACTGTTTCTTGTCAAAAACTGAAAAACAATGTCACACTGCGAACACACATTGTTGTCACACACTGAACACCAATGTCAAACAGCGAACACATATTGTTGTCAAACATTGAACAACAATGTCACACTGCGAACACACATTGTTGTCAAACACTGAAAAACAATGTCACACTGCAAACAAACATTGTTGTCAAACACTGAACAACAATGTCACACTGCGAACACACATTGTTGTCAAACACTGAAAAACAATGTCACACTGCAAACACACATTGTTGTGAAACACTGAAAAACAATGTCACACTGCAAACACACATTGTTGTCAAACACTGAAAAACAATGTCACACTGCAAACACACATTGTTGTCAAACACTGAAAAACAATGTCACACTGCAAACACACATTGTTGTCAAACACTGAAAAACAATGTCACACTGCAAACACACATTGTTGTCAAACACTGAAAAACAATGTCACACTGCAAACACACATTGTTGTCAAACACTGAAAAACAATGTCACACTGCAAACACACATTGTTGTCAAACACTGAAAAACAATGTCACACTGCAAACACACATTGTTGTCAAACACTGAAAAACAATGTCACACTGCAAACACACATTGTTGTCAAACACTGAAAAACAATGTCACACTGCAAACACACATTGTTGTCAAACACTGAAAAACAATGTCACACTGCGAACACACATTGTTGTCAAACACTGAAAAACAATGTCACACTGCGTACACACATTGTTGTGAAACACTGAACACCAATGTCACACAGCGAACACATATTGTTGTTTAACACTGAACACCAATGTCACACTGCGAACACACATTGTTGTGAAACACTGAAAAACAATGTCACACTGCGAACACACATTATTGTCAAACACTGAAAAAACAATGTCAAACTGCGAACACAAATTGTTGTCAAACACTGAAAAACAATGTCACACGGCGTACACACATTGTTGTGAAACACTGAACACCAATGTGACACAGCGAACACATATTGTTGTCAAACACTGAAAAACAATGTCACACTGCTAACACACATTGTTGTCAAATATTGAACAACAATGTCACACTGCGAACACACATTGTTGTCAAACACTGAAAAAACAATGTCACACTGCGAACACAAATTGTTGTCAAACACTGAAAAAACAATGTCACACTGCGAACACACATTGTTGTCAAACACTGAACACCAATGTCACACAGCGAACACACATTGTTGTGAAACAGTGAACAACAATGTCACACTGCGAACACACATTGTTGTCAAACACTGAACACCAATGTCACACAGCGAACACACATTGTTGTCAAACACTGAACACCAATGTCACACTGCGTACACACATTGTTGTCAAACACTGAACACCAATGTCACACTGCGAACACACATTGTTGTCAAACACTGAAAAAAACAATGTCACACTGCGTACACACAGTGTTAGCATTCTGAAAAAAACACTTTAGGTCAGCGTTTAGTATATATGTGTGTTAGAGTAAAAAAAACACATTTAGATCAGCGTTTATTATATGTTAGAGTAAAAAAACACATTTAGATCAGCGTTTAGTATATTTTAGAGTAAACAAACAACACATTTAGATCAGCGTTTAGTATATGTTAGAGTAAAAAAACACATTTAGATCAGCGTTTGGTATATGTTAGATTAAAAAACACATTAAGATCAGCGTTTAGTATATGTTAGAGTAAAAAAACACATTTAGATCAGCGTTTGGTATGTGTTAGAGTAAAAATAAGTCGAGACACAAACTCCACGTAATTTCACTGTAACACTGGCTTTTATCAACTGATCGAAATGATGAGCTCACCCGTATAAGAAAATTTAATATAACTCGGGTTTTTCACCCCTATGGATATTTTATTCGGTTTATTTCTGTTATTGTTCATATTGGTATTTTCCCAGTTTTGTTTATTAGTCTTTTTACTCTGTAGCTGTTAATCTCGGTTATTTTCGTAGTACTTTTGGGGCTTTGTTTTCGCAATGGCTGTTCCACTCGGGGTTGTTTCTTATTTTTTATGACTGTTTTACTTTTTTATTTTTTCACAATAGCAATTCGACTTTTCTACTTTTCGCTATGGATATTTTACTGAGGTTTTTTTCTAATTTCCTATGTTTGTTTTACTTGCAGTTATTTTTCATTTCAGATATTCGACTTTTTTTCTTTTCGTTATGATAATTATACTCAAGTCTTTTTTTCTTATTTTCTCTGCCAGTTTCATCTTCTTCAAAATTTGCTAAGAAATGTGTCCATTGTTGTTACAGGTGTACTCCTCTGGGAAGTAAAATAATTTGTGTATTAAACATTTTTCTTACATGCATGTTTGAAAGAAGGAGTAAATGGCAAAGTAGAAAATGAAAAAGATCCATGTCCGTGTGTTCGTTTTGTGCTACGATCAGTCAAAGATACCAATTTAACATGATATATGTTTTTAGGTGATATTTTTGGTTTTGACGATTTGCAGAACAAATTCATACAATCTTATCAGATATATAAATGTTTGCAGAATTGATAAAACTAGTATTTTCTTTTAAATCATGAAGCATAATATCTTAAATTTATTCTTTTTACACAGAAAAGCGATTTCAGTTACCCGTACCCCGCATTTTTTTTTTTTATAAAAACACTATTTTTTTCATTATTTTTCGCAGATTTAACGCTTTGATAAGAAAAATATTAAATAGATCAAAAGAAATTGCGTTTCTCTTTCTAAAACAGGCGCAAAAATGGGGGAAAGTGTGCTTCTGTTTTGTCCCATTATTATTTTGTTATTTTTCACATTTTTCGGGGTAAAACTCAAAAGTGCTTTAGTTACACTAAATACGTAAAACAATAACACCAATAATGTATAATTTTCCACTTTGTTGCATATTATTTTTATCATATTGAACATTATAAAGTTGTACAGAAAAAAATGAACTTGCTACATTTCAGGTTTAAGTGCCAAAAAAGGTGTCATTATGGCCTTTTGTGAAACATAAGAAAATCGCATTTTCAAGAATGCCAACGAATTCGTCATTTTTTCAAATTATTATAAAACTATTCTACAAACAACAGACATTTAGGTTTTGACATATTTTTCAGATGCGTGTTTGCTTTTAAAATTGATCATAATTTGAACTTGAGCGTTATTTAAACAATAGAAGAGTACATCTGTAACACAACCATTCAAAATATTTTGGCTTTTAACGTTTTCTGTTTTTGAAATAATTAGGGATTTCCATTTCGAATGGAAATATCTATTGATATTATTCTGTTTTTTCTTACGATTATTTCCACATATCTTGTAAACACTTTATCTCAAGAACGAACAACGATATTACGTTCATATTTCAGTACATGATAAAGGACAACGATCTCACGATACCCGAACAAAATCACGATCGTAACACCAAAGGTCAAGGTCACAGATATATAAATAGAGAATTATTGAACCTTTTTCGAACGTCTATAACTTTAAAACCGTTCGTTGTACTGCATTAACGCCTTATACTTCAGGTAGACCTTGGTCGGGGCTAACTTTTACCCCATGACATGTTTTCAGAGAATATCTCAAGTTAAAAGCCACGCTATGGGGTCAAATATAGGTCAAAAATGAAAAAATAATAATAAGTTTAATTTATCACATCGCAAAGAAAATGTTCTAATGAAGGTATTTCCAAAGTTTCAAGATCATAGCATCAAAAATGACGAAAATATGCCACTTTGAAAATTTCGTTTTCCCGCCAAAATTCAAAATTTCCAAAAATGTACTAAAATCTCTTCTTCTCCATCATCAAGACACATACAGAGTTGATATTTGGAACATCCATAGTATGTAGCCTTGCCTACAAAAGTTATCGGATATCATTAACCTTGACCTACATTCAAGACCACAGGGGTCAAATGATCTTGTGGACACTCTATCTCAAGAACGAATAAAGATATAACGTTCATATTTCAGTTTGTATTAGAGGACAACGAACACATGGTATGCGAACAAATTCATGATCATAATGTCAAAGGTCAAGGTTACAGATCTATAAATAGAGTTTTTTAAACGTATTTTTTTGAACGACCATCACTTCGAAAAATTTCGGTGTATTGCTTGACCGCTTCATACTTCTGGTAGATCTTGATCGGGGCTTATTTTTTTCCATGACATATTATCAGAGAATATGTCAAATTCAAAGTTCGCTGACCTCCAAGCACCAGTCACTATGACCCCTGAACTACTTCCTATCATCAGTCGCTATAACCGCTGACATCCAAGCACCAGTCACTATGACCCCTGAACTACTTCCTATCATCAGTCGCTATAACCGCTGACATCCAAGCACCAGTCACTATGACCCCTGAACTACTTCCTATCATCAGTCGCTATAACCGCTGACATCCAAGCACCAGTCACTATGACCCCTGAACTACTTCCTATCATCAGTCGCTATAACCGCTGACATCCAAGCACCAGTCACTATGACCCCTGAACTACTTCCTATCATCAGTCGCTATAACCGCTGACATCCAAGCACCAGTCACTATGACCCCTGAACTACTTCCTATCATCAGTCGCTATAACCCCTGACATCCTATCAAACTAAGAAGCGCGGCTTACCTCTTACACCTTAGCTCTCTTTTGTTACAATTATATCTAAAAAGAGATTAATAAAATATTTTACTTGTAAATGAGCGAGATCGGGTTATCGCAGTCGAGGGTTAAGACTCTGTAACATAATCCGAACCGAGACGCAAG